GGGTTGAGCGGCCTGGTGACAAGCAGCGGACACAACTGGGAAGGAGGCTGGTGGGCACGTATGTGAGCATAAACGTAGCATATGAACAAAAACGGGAAGCTGGAGGAAGCAACTGGGGCATGTAGATGGGATGGAAGCATGCTGGTCTTTTTGCTTTAGAACGCAATAAGTTGGCTAAAAATCGTTGGCTTGATAAGTTGGTTCTTCTGCTATGTATGTATGTGGTTGGGTTGAGCATAGCATGGTCAGGGAAGAAGGGACATGCGATACATGGCATGTTAGATTGAGTAGCATATGACAGGGCCAGGCAGGCAGGAGGGTAAAATTAATGACTGGGATGACTACAGGATTTAAACTAGTTTTCGTTTGTCTCTACTTTTTTTGACCGAGATGGTAATGAGAACCTGCATCGAACCTCTCAAACCGAGAGGACCAAGGCGGAAAGGAAGCTTGCGGGCAGTATGGAACACAATCATATGTACCTTTGCTAGGTATCTACTTAAACTTAACTAGCATCTCCCAAAGGGCGAAAAGCAAACTCACATGGACGTAGGATATATAATAGTTTAGAAGCATGAATCGACAGCATATAAAATTAACACACTTCGCTTTATCCAAATCCAAAATGTTGCCCTAGCTAAATGCTCCGTTTCATGAACCCTCATGCCACCATTACGTCGTTGAAATGCCGAGATGACAAAAAGAAAGGGGGTATCATAACCCGTCCTACAGTCTGTCTCATTATGCCCTGCGCCCATGCATCATATCATCATCGCCATGCTTGACTTTACAAAAGAAATCCTTTTCTCCCCTCCTACATGCTTAAGAAAATGACATCCTTACGACCCAGTTACAATGCACTACAAGTGTGTAACAGCTTGGGCGAACACACTCAACAGCGTAGCCGCGGCACCACTAACACCGATGGCCCCGGCCGCGTCCTTCAGTGCGCTGCGCTTCGAGCCTCGGTCGTCGTCACGATCCCGGTCCCGGTCCCTATCTCTGTCTCTGTCTCTGTCTCTGTCCCGATCTCTCTCTCTATCACGGTCCCTGTCTCGCTCGCGATCACGATCACGCTGAGTCCGTGGATCACGGGACCCTCTGTCCCTGTCTCTCTCCCGATCTCGGTCTCGGTCACGTTCTCGGTCGCGGTCCCGGTCGCGGTCCCGGTCGCGGTCCCGGTCGCGGTCTCTGTCACGATCTCGGTCTCTATCGCGTTCCGAATATCGCTTGCTGCGGTCGTCTCTTTCCCGCTCGCGATCCCGGTCTCGAAGCCGATCCCGCTCTTTGTCCCTCTCCCGGTCCCGGTCTCGAGAACTGTCTGACCCGCGCAACCTATCCTTATCCTTATCCTTCTCCCTATCCTTCTCCCGATCCCGGTCCCCGTCCCTAGATTTATCCCTCCTGTTCCGCTCTCTATCCCTCCCCCTCTCCCTGTCGCGCTCTCGTTCACGGCTCTTCCCCCTCTCCTTCCGATGATCCGAATCCCGCCCGGGCGAAACCTCTCTCGGCCTCCCCGCACGATCGAACCGCACATGATTCGGATTCTTGTTTTTGAGGATTGGCTTCGGCTCGACTGTGCTAGAAGGGGAGCCAACATTGGCGTTATCGGCACCTGCGTCTCCGTTGACACTGAGCGGTGGGGAGACGATGGTCTGGTAGGGCCTGCTGCTACGGTGGTACGTGTGCGTGTTGGAATCGCTGTCGTCGTCTGAGCTGTCGAGCGGTTTGTTGCTGTTGTTGCTCCTCGAGGCGGTATAGTTCTTAGGGATGTACCGGTTCCGGGCGTGATCAGGAGCCAGGCCCCGTCGTCGACGGTGGGAGTTGGCCCGCCTGCCCGTACCGTCACTATCGGTGTCCGTCTTGGTGTTGGTATCGCTCTCACTAGCGTCAAACAACGCCTCAGAACCACCCCCCTGGGCAAGCCTCCTAGCTGCCCATCGTCGGTGGTCGTCTCCGTACGTCTCCCCTTCTTCGCCCATCCCAGCCCGCGTCCGCAGCTGAGATGCCCGGCTCTTCCAAATTTCTTGACTCTGCCGTGCAAACCCCTCAATCTCCTCATGCGAGAGGACTCCCAGGACAGCTACAAAAGTCGGCCGCGCCTCGTACCGCACGCCCGCACGTCTCAATGCCTCAGACGCGACAACGTTGCGGCTGATCTTGGTCCATGTCGCGTCCAACGGGATGGGTTGGCCTTTGCTGTCGGGTTTAAGGCGGCTGTACTGCTGGGCTTGAGGCGCTGGTTGTTGCGGAAGCTGGTAGTGCTGGAGGTCGGTGCCCGTAGAGGCCGGGGCGGAAGAGGGGTAAGCCGTAAGGTCCCAGCTGGCGTCCGGGGTGGTGTTGGTGAAGCTGCTGCCATAGGGGGGCGGGGGCGGGTGTAAGCTAGAATTAGAGGTGGTATACGGTGGTGGAAGCGTGATGGGCTGGCCATCGTATCCGGGTGCTACGGCGCCCGGGATGGGCAATGGTCGACTGCCCGGTGGGAGATATCTGTTCGTAGGCGAGGTGCCCGGCGAGATAAAGTAGAACGGCGATTGAATGGGCGAGAGCAAAGATGCGCCCGAAAGCTCAACCTGTTTAGCCTCAGCGTAGCGATCGAGCGCCAGGAGATCGCGGGTCGACATGAGCATGGTGCCGGTTGAAGTGGTGTTGTCTTCGTCCGAAGCTTCGAAAGAACCCGAATGCTCAAAACTCAGCTGGGGAACGTGGAGAGAAGACTGCTTTTGAGGGCGAAGCCCAACGGTCATATCATCAGCGCGTTCCGTCATGGGCGCAATCCTCCGTCGCCCCTGGTTGCTCACAGGCCCGGCGTTTAGGCCGGCGTTGAGGTCGCCCTCGTCAGTTGGGTACGGCGCCGACGAGCCGATACCGATGGGCGGCTGGGTATCCGACTTGAGGAGACCGCGCACCGAGGGCGGTGCATTGCCACCAGGAGCTCGGTGCGACTCAAGCTCGCGAATATATGCACACAAAATTTCCTGTCACACGGGTCAGCTCGCCGGGTCCGACGCTGTGCATCGTGCGCACATAAAGCAGCCGAACAGCAAAACATACCTTGTTTTGACGTATCACGTCCGGCGCGAAGCCCTCGCGCTCTAGCTCCGTCTTGAAGCTGCGCCATAGCTCATCTTCGTCTTGGCCGGCCGTTCTCTCACGAAACAGACGGTTGGCAACACGGTCGACCTTGTTCTTGATCTCCTCGATTTTCTCGGCGTTGGCCGGGGTGTTCTCGGCAGCCGCCATCGCTTGTTTGCCAGCCGCCCGCTTGGCCGGGTTGTGAAGTTGGACAGTGTCCAGAAAAATGCCGATTTTCAGTGCTTGCGAAATGATGTCGCCTCGAATCAGGTTGATCCGCTGGACGGTAGCCGCCGGGACTGGCCCTCGTCTCTCAGGCGCCGTCCCCACGGCGTCTCCGTGCCGCTCGAGGACGGTGTTGACCTGCTTGAGGGCGAAGTCACTGTCCTCAACCAGGGACCTTAGCTGCCTCGCGTACACAGTCGTTGGAGGCGCCCGGTTGCTGTCGCTGTTACTGCTGTTGCTGCTGCTGTTATCGTGACAGCTACTCGTCGGGCTAGGCGGGGTGTAGAGGGGCGAATCCGGGTCTTGGGCCTCAACGTTGAGATGCTGGAGCGATATGTGCAGGTTGTTGATCGCTATCGCCAAATCGACGAACTCGGTGCCAGCATTGCGAGCGCGTCGATACAGGTGTCGCGCGGAGGCATCGGCAGACTCGATGCTGGGGGCTTGGTCGGGTTTTGTCATAGGATTTAGTGTGAGTGGGTGATTCGCCCGTCGGCCTTGGTTCCCAGTCAGCGGCTCAGCGTCCGCTTTGTCTCGTCTCTCGTCTCTCAGTCGCGGTGCCCCTCCCCTCCTTCAAAGAAAATCTTGGCACACCCTGCTAGGCCGGTCCGGTCTTGTTTGGCCTTGGCTAGTTTGGTGGTCAGGTGCGCCGTGTGCGAAAAAAGGGAGGAAGGATGGGTGGCTGAATCGCCGTCAGCTTCGGTAGGCAGAGGCGGATACCGGCGAGTGAGTAGGTGGTGACTAGGCTGAGTTTGGGTCTGGGGTAACAGCGCGGGGCGCAGCATCAAAACTTGGAACGCGAAGACTGTTGAAAAATGAGAAAAGTGATAGGTCGAGGTCGGAACTGAACAAAACAGAAAAGGGGCGAGACGAGACGCGGCCAGTCGAGAGCAGAAAGCGAGTACAGAAGGGAGGCAAAACGTCTTCTGCCACCCACCACCAGTTAGGCCGCAAAACAGGAAGCAATACATGTGCACATACTATGTCACCCTACTGCCGATCAGCTGGGACTGTCTTGGAGCTTCGAAATTCAAAGGCCCCGCTCCAGCCCAAAACCTCTGACGAATGCTAGAAGAGATCGGCCCTGTCCGTCCCCCAGAAGGGAACGCTGTTTCGTCGTGGAACCGTGGAACTCTGCACCTGTGGAATTATGGTTTGCCCTGCTTGAGGCTAACGTCCCGCAGCGGCGTTCCTCCCGCTTGACTTTTGGGCCGACAAGCATGAAAGCAAGTCATCGATACATGTGGCTCAAGCCGCGACGGCCGTTATTCCACGAGGCTCAACGTGGGGCTGCCTGACGCTTACATGGACAACAAGGTATCCGTTGGTCGAATAGAAACAAAGGATAAAACCGCGGACCCGAAACTGAGAACTTAGAGGAATCAACACAAACGAGGCGTGAGACAGAAAGTCAGGAGACAAGTCGAAAGAAGCTAAGACCTCACGGGAAAAGACAAACCACGTTGCTTCACCAAAGAAGTTGGAATGAAAAAAAGAGAAGGGGTTGCGAACCCCAAATGGTCATGGGGGACAAACCTGCCCCAGTGACGTCCGTCGGTTGCGGCGGCTTGCAGGTCTTGCCGGCCCAGTCCGTCATATTTGGCCGGCACCTGGCAAGACAGCCAGAGTGGAGCCAAGAACGAGTAGGGCTGACCAATAGTAACCTGCACAGTGGAGGAAGCCCAGCGTATGACATCTGGCCACCAGCCGCCAAACGTCCCTCGCACCTGCATCACGCTAGTTAACCTTCAGTGGGGAAGAACCTCCCTGAGCCTACCTCAGAGACCCACCCCTCCAACTCACCTCGCTGAACTCGGCTGCGCCACCATGCTGGACCGAACGACGTTCGTCCCAACGTCGATTAGTGAGGAACATCAATCAAATTTATCCCCAAGTCCCAATCTTCCGGGCCGTTGCTTGCTGCACATCATCGTACCCAAGCGGAGGCACCCGGGTCGCCGAATTGGCCCTCTGTAACCCTGTCAAGGAATCCAACCCGAAAGAGGAGAGTAGTGTAGTCATTCTCAAATAGACAACGTATCTCCTCAAGAGTTTGGTTAGTTTGTATAAGACACAGAAGACATCGATTTTAACATCAGCCAGGTCACAAATCCCTCCCAAAAAGACGACCCCGAGCTGGAGAAAAAAAAAGACATAAAAGTCTCGGCCATTACACCGCAGGACACCTCCCCTCCTGTCGTGTTTGTGTACCCCCGGCAATTCACAGACAACCGAACCTCTTTGCCTCTCTCCTCGCGATCTTGCCCCAAATAGAGACACCGGTGCTGGTGGGCCTTGGCGAGGCGGAAACCACCGCTTTATACACTACTGCACGTTTGTTACATCTCCTGTGCACAGCCGCTTCGAGTCTATGCTAAACCCACAGAGCCACTTAACTCTGGAAAGATCTAGAGTCAGCGGGGAGTCAGCGTAGCGGACTCCTTTTTTGCTCGTAGCCCGAAATCTGACGAGCTGCAACTCTGACATGTGTGAAGCAAAGGAAAGCCAAGTGGCGAGTTCTCGGGTTCGGAGCCCCTGGGAAAGCAAGCGAGGCTGTGAGGCTGTGAAGGTGATCCATCCACATGTCGGGTTAACACCCGATCAAGACAAGGGGCATTTTGCTCCGATTTCCCCGCAAACATTCGGAAGAAGCATCCTGCTGGCTCTTCTAGAAAGGTTCTGAGGTATTCGTGGGCATGTTCTCCTCCAATCCAGCCCCTAAACCAAGCACGCACATTACCGGTAGGTATGTACATGTACCGATAGACAAGCCAGGCTCCCTCCCGTCTTGCATAATAATGAGGTCCTCCAAACAGAAAACTCCCTAGCCCTCCATCATTTTCTCCCCCTCTCCGTAAGATTGACTGCCTGATCCGACAGGACAGATGCATTCTATCTCCCCCCTGTGCCGGGTAGATTGACTCACGCCGGTCTGGCATCCAGAAGTTGAAACACGGCGCATTGGGGTAAGAAACGCACAGGAAATCATCAGGGCTCTCTCATCACCCATAATGCACCGTCCTGCTCCTCCCCGCAGCTGATCAGGCCAGTGGGCGAACGGGAAGCAAGGTAAAAGTAGGGAGTCGCTTTGAAGTGAGGCAACATCTTATGGTTCCTGTCCCGGCCGTACGGGATCGATATCCCGAGACCCGCGTGCCGCGCTTGCCGCCCCTGTTGGTGCTGCGGTAGTGCACCCCCTGGATCAGATGCTTTCCGTTATAGACACGGTGTAGTCCGTGATGGTGTATTGGAGTGTGCCATAGAACCTACAGCCTTGCCAAGGGCCGGGGAAAGGGGGGGACAGTTAGTTGAGAGATGGACGGGAGAGTGAGGCAAAGGTTGCGCCAGCCAATTTGGTGTCTGTCACAAAGAACTAGAGGTTCAAACGGTTCCATCGCAATGATGCTAATGTTTAATGACGGATGACGCCTTGCTGCCTGACAGCCATCATGACCCTTTAAACACGCCAAATAAATATTACATTCGATCTCTCTATTCACATCCTTTCCCGGCGCCCAAATCCTCGGGACCTTGCAGTTCAAGGGGCTGCCTCAATGCCTCTCCCAGCACCCCCCATCAACATCTCCTCAGAAATCCGGTGCACCGAGTACGCACCCCTCTTCTTGCTGATGAAATGCCCAATCTGTCTACTGCTGCGCGCCACAATCTCCCCGCCCGACCGCACCCGCTCCGTCGAGATACGCGTCTCGGTCTTGAGGCCTAGCGGGAGCGCTTGTGGGGCGCCAGGAACGGATTGGTGTTGGGGTTCGGCCACCTCGACCATCTTGTTACTGTTCTTAGCCGTCATGCCATTGGTGCCATTGGTGTTTGTCAAAAGCGCCTTCCTAGCTCGCTTAGCGTAGCTGACCGCCTCGGCCAGCGCGCCCTGCAGGTGCACAGCTTCCATGATGCCCTCCAGGGCGACGCTTACTTCGGCCTGGAACTGGCTGAAAAAATCCGCCGAGTCGTCAAGGCTGCTGCTGCTGTTGTTTCCGTGTGAGCCAGAGACGGCCAGCATAGCATCCGACGCCATCCACCCGCTTAGTCCAACAGAGTCGATGCACCGCGACATGAGGTCTGCAATGAGCTGGATGCTGCCATCAGGAGACGCTCCGCTCTCACCGCTGCCGCGATCCGTAGCGGTCCGATCAAGGTAGCGCGTCGTCCAGCCGTCTTTAATAAGCTCAGCCCGCAGCACGTTCATCAGGCCGATGGTCTCCTCGAGCTTGAATAGGCGGCGCAAGCTCTGCACGGTTGCGACGGGTGGGCAGGCTGCCAACTTGTTGAACGCTACGCCGAGCCCTCTTGCCCGGTGCCCGCCTAAGTAGTGCTCCGTAATCTCCAACTCCTCCTCCGCGCGGTCTAGTTCCAAGTTGATCGCCTCGGTTTCCGGATCTTCTGCACCTTCGCCCTTCTCCGTCAGCCGCATCAGGGCTTTCGATGAATCTTCGAACAGGCCGAGGCTGCGGAGAAGTAGCTTGATGGAAGATACTAGTTCGGTAGGCCCGAGCTGTGTGCCTGAAAGGTAACCCAACAGCAGCTCCATAGTTGGGTCAATCTGTGCCAACAGGATGGGTGTTTCTGCCCCGATGATATGGTCCGCCCCGTCTATTTCTAACACCTCGTTCTTGAAGGCCGACTTGATGTTGGAGGTGGATAGGTGCCCTGCATCCACTAGGTAGTTGAGAACGCTGCTCTCCGGGAGAGAGCAAGCTAGTCGCGTAGTCCCCGAGCTCGCTTCACTCTGCTTGTCCCATGAGAAGATTCTGCTGATGGCGTAAAACACCCACCGCCTATCGACACGCGCATAATCCGCCCTTGATGCCGGCCACTCCCACTCCATGTGGCCCGAGGAAGAGTCACCATTTGTCAGTGTCCCCTTCTCTGTATCGCCTTTGTTCGCTTTGATTGGGACCTTGAACACCTCCGCCAGAAACTCCTCCCATGAACGGAAATCACTGCTTTGCAGAAGCTCATCCGCCTGCGCAGAGTTACTCTCCCACTCTAGCCATGACGCGTCAGTCGAGCCGGGGAAGGCCTCGCCCAGGACGGCTGAGGTGAAATGTTCCGCGCGCGCACGCTTCTGACACGGCGGGTCCCGGGGAAGCCCACGGCGGATCGCATCGGTCAAGAGGCCTTCCGCGCGCCGCTTGGAAGTCCGGTTTTTGGGAGCCTCGACTTGTATCGCAGTCAGGTTTGCCCCGTCAATACCAATCGCGATCTCACGGCTGGAGATATAAGTGACAAACTCAAAGCGATTGCTAGGGACCTCAGCGTCCACCGGGGTGCTGGCTTGGAGAGAACGGTAAACAGGGTTGTATACCGAGAAGCTGTCGGTTGTCGCAGTGAGAACAGAGGTCTTCGAGAGGCGAATGAACGAGCTTAGCCCGGAAAGCCGTAACTTGTTTTCGAGACGGGGAATGCCGTTGCTGAAAGCATAGGTGGAAATTACGCCATCGGCGAGCGTTTGTAGGGTCCCAGACCTGACATCCAGCTGGAACTTCGCGTCGATTGGTTCAGAGGGGAGTGGAGCAGCAAAAACCGAAATCAATCGTTCATTGCTTGTCTGCTGTGCCTCCCTCTCGGATGGCAAAGCAAGTAGGTGTAAGTGCTGAGTCTGGGACGATTTGTCGGAGGTGATAACAACAAGAAAGTCTGGATTGAAGCCTTCACGGTGAATCTTTTCTTGGAACACGCCGAAAAGCTCATGGTTCCCGCCAAACATCCCCTCCGCAATGTCGGCAGCGGAAGTTGGCTGCGCAAAGTCGACATGGAGACCCGATTTTGAGTTAGAGAGGAGCTCTTTAGAGAGCACCGACGAAGATGCCCGCCACCTCTCCTCCAGGGTCTCCCCATTTAGACATAGAATCGTGCCATCGGCAACCACGACAACAAGATCATGGTGGGGGCCCTCGTCACTCAACAAGCTCGCCGCTGAAGCACGAGCGGAACTGGCAAAAATATTGACAATAGGTGCATCGCAGCGAAGGATGTGCGAGCCCGGCGTCGTTGTCGTCGTCCCTGATTCGGAAGTCTCCTCCTTGAACAACTTGATTTCCCGAGTCGCCGCAGCCGAAGAAACGGTTTTTGTGGACAACGAGACGTAGGTGTAACGGGTCACAGTCTTGGAGGATGTCGGTCGCCAGCGCAGCGAGTATGGAGCGCAGGTGAAGACGGACTGGGGCGAGACGAGATAGGAGGTGACGGATTGTGAGGAGACAACCTAGCGCGTGTCAGCATAAGGTGCATTGACAACAAAGGAGACATGTTAGACACTAACATCGTAGAGGTAGACAGCCACGCCGTCAATGGCTACGGCCAATTCAGTCCTCTTGCGCCGCTTGCCGTCTTGTTTCTGACCAAACACCTCGCCAGCGACATACCGGCCGGGCCGGTCAGGCCCGTCCAGGGGACGTGGGAGGGTCTGGAGCACATATGGCGTGTGTATCTGAAGTTTAGCCGCCATGGTGAGTCTCTGCGCCGGCGAATTGGCCGAGTTGAGTCTTCTCACGATGGGGCTGTTGCTGTGTACTGAAAGCTGCGATGGCAGAAAAAAAGAGGCTGCCGAATCGACAAAAAATTAAGTGGGACTGACAGGGCCTGTGGGGCAGGAGGGGTGGGTTGGTGGGTCCTCGCCCAGAAACCTCCAGTGTGCCCGGGTGAACTCAAGCGGACAACAGGCCAAGAGGGCCTACCTGGCACGTGCGTCAGCGCTTCTGTCCGACCACTCAATCAATGATGCAAGTGGATCAATTAACGAAGCGCGATGGACCCCAAAGAAGCGCGTCGCGGGCCTTAAACGCGTGCTTTTGAGAACCGTGAATTCACAGGCAATGCAGAGCCGAGAGCAACGAAACCCATTTCTCAGAACCCCTTTACAGAACCCCGTCTTACAACATTTTCTCATAACAATAACCATCGAGTATGGCATTTTTGGAGCATTACAATCCCAACCGCTCCCATAATTAGCCCTGTTTAACACATCCAACCCGCGTCCTCGTCTCTCCCCAGCATGATAATCACCTTCCACTCGATCCTGCTCAGCACATCCTCTAATTCTCGGCCACCGTGCGTGAAGTCTCCTTTTCCCATTCATCACGACCGAGCGGTATCAGGCACAGCACGCAAAATATCATTTTCAAGTTGAAACTAACCTCCTAGAGCTCTAAGACAACCCCCTAATGGGTACTGTCGCTGTGCTCGCCATGGCCGAGAATGCTTCGCCTGCCGATAATGATATTTCAACAGCGCGACCGCCAGTACACCCCTTTTTTGCGCAGGGCCGTACAACAACATCCGCCACGGAACCGTCTGCGATCCTCGATGCAACTGATTCGAGTACCAACTACATCGCCCCAGTGTTGAACAACGCCACAGACAACAACACAACCACCGGGGAGAACGACACAGACAGCGCAGGAGAAAACCGTGGCAAGCGGCGCAAAGCGGATCAGGAGCTGAAACTGGACGGTACACCGATAAAAACCAGGCCAACGAAACGAACAAGGAATTCGGCGGGTAAAGGGGACATCGAGAACCTGTTCGCGAAACTCAACAATGGAAAGGAAGGTGACAAGACCAGCAGGCCTGGTAGTGTGAGCAGCGATAGGCCGGCCCAGGACCACAATCCTCAGCCAGAAACTGCTGTGCAACGGGATACCAGCACCCACAACCCTTTGATCGAGAACCCACCGGACAATAAACCACCGACAAACCCCTCACCCATCGGCCAGCCTCAACCACAAGCAAGTGGGCACATTGCAACGCCCGGGGTTGTGGAGGGGAGGCCAAAAAAGCTATTGCTGTTTAATCCCAAAACTGGGACTATCGGTCCACCCCCTAAACCAAAGGAGACGCGGATAGCAGCAGAAGATTCGGAGGTGAAAAAGAAGGCACCCGGCAGGCGTGGCAGAAAGTCACAGTCAAAGATCGTGTCCATTGTCTATGGGGCGGACCAGGAAGCACGGCTCAGGTTAGCCCAGTTGATTAAGGATATCCTCAGTGGGACAACACGGCACGCCAACACGAATGCGAGACCATCAACCAAACCGACCGCAACAGCCACGCTGACGAAGCCCCCAAAAGACACTCACCCGTTTTTCCGAGGTCCGACCAAAGCAACCAATAAAGCACCTGTGGACTCCCAGCCTAAGAAGCCCAATGCATCCCAGAACAGCAGCCGGACAAAACAATATTGTACGACCCCATGCTCCCCGAAGAAGCCACGTCTTGGGCTCGCGTCCAAAGCCCCGATGCCTCAATTTGGTGTCAAGAGTTTGGGACTCAAGTTTCCGGGCGCCAAACTTCCTGCGTGGCCCTGGCAAGGCATGGTGCACGTCCGGGGTGATGAGGGGGATAATATCTGCCTCGACGACGCGCCATTGCCCTTCCCCGCCCGGAAGTCAAAGGGAAACGCCGTCAAAATGTCGCCAAGTGAGTCCATTATCAGCCGCGTTGCCGATGCATTGGACGTCCCAGCTGTGGCAAAGGCCATCAGAGACGTCAACACGGAAGATTTTGTCCCTCCGCCTCCTGAAGTGCGTCTCCCACGAAAGCACTTTGAAAGCGGGAGCAAGCTCCAATCTCGTATCCTTGGAGAGCTCAAGACCTTCAAAAGCGCAGCGAAAGCAGCGCTGCCGCAGAACGGCATGCCAGGGAGCAGCAATACGAACAACGCTCGGCCTCCCCCACAGCTTACCCGGCTTTTTCGATCCATCGCCTCTTCGCTCTCGGCATTCGACATGTCCCAATGTGAGACCACGAACTGGGTGCAAAAATATGCTCCGTCGAGCGCCGCTGAACTACTACAGCCCGGCCAAGAGGTATTCTTTCTCCGAAACTGGCTCCAAACTTTGATGGTCCAATCGATAGACACTGGGTCGCCTGATGTCGACAAATCAAAGGCTGGGTCAAAAGGGAAGCCTTCGGGAGCAGGCAAAAAGAAGCGGAGAAAGAAACTAGATGGATTCATTGTGTCGAGTGAAGACGAGGACCAGGAGTGGTACGAGCATTCGGAGGACGACGAGGACTGGGCGCCTAGTGGGAGCCGAGGCATCTTGCGGAAGACAGTCGTCCGATCTCGTAACCGCCCCAGGGGAAAAGAAGTCGATGACAAAATTCCCAACACGCTGGTCATCAGTGGGCCACACGGCTGTGGCAAGACGGCTGCAGTCTACGCCGTGGCTAAAGAGCTAGATTTTGAGGTTTTTGAGATCAATGCGAGCAGTCGGCGGAGTGGCAAGGACGTGTTGGAGAGGATCGGCGACATGACAAGAAATCATCACGTCCAGCAACACCAGTCCTCCAATGCGCCAGACAATCAAGACGCTACAGCAGATGACGAAACCTCCAGGGACATCAAGACGGGCAAGCAAGCGACCATGAACTCCTTCTTTACCGCCAAAGCGAAGGTGACTGTGCCCAAACAGACGAACAAAGATTCAACAACCCCTCCAGAGAAGGTGACAAAAAAGGAGGCCAAGAAGGAGCCGGCCAAGGCGCAGCGCCAGTCTCTGATTCTTCTCGAGGAGGCCGACATTCTCTACGAAGAAGACAAACAATTCTGGACGACACTCGTCACTCTCATTGCCCAGGCAAAACGTCCCTTCGTCATTACCTGCAACGATGAGACACTCGTCCCCTTGCACACCCTCACCCTCCATGGTATCTTCCGCCTTAGCCCCCCACCCAGGGACCTTGCCATCGACCGCCTCCTCCTCATCGCCGCAAACGAAGGCCACGCGCTCATCAGGCAGTCAGTTGAGCAACTCTTCGACGCTCGCCATCATGACCTCCGGGCGGCCACGATGGATTTGCAGTACTGGTGCCAGATCGGAGTTGGTGATCGCAGGGGAGGATTCGACTGGTTCTACCCCCGCTGGCCAAAGGGGTCCGACTTGGATGAGAACCAGGAGGTTGTCAGGGTGGTGAGCCAGGGCACATATGAGTTGGGAATGAATTTGTTTGGGCGAGACCCAGTTATTGATGGCAAGGAGTCCGCGCGACTAGTGGAGGAGGAAGTCCTCCATCAGGCTTGGGAATCGTGGGGGCTTGATATGGGGCAGTGGCAGGATTCGGAAGAGATGATGTTTTGGGCAACAAGCCTGGAGCCGGAGATGGCAACCCGTGCTAATCGGGCCGGTATTTTAGAGGCATATGATCAGTTGGCCGATGGAATGAGTGTGGCAGATATGTGCTCTGCTGGGTCGTTTGCGACATTCAAGGAGGTCAGCACTGCGTTCATTTTCCTTTTATTGCTTTGGCGGAAACGCGACCCCCGCTAACGATTTCTTCACAGGAGCTCATCGATACCACACAGCCAGATCTTGCAGCCAAGGTCCGTGACGACTTTGTTCTCGGCATCACACACCTCGAAGCACCCGTGATTAAACACTACAGCGCTCTGTCCCCGTTGATCGCCTCCACGATCAAATCTCTCGCCAAGTCTTCACTCAGGCTACGAACCGAAAAGCGCAAACTTGTCCAGGCAAACACACTATACCCTCTAAACGAACCCCGGGCCATAAACCAACTGCAAACGAGCTTCACATACACCCTCCCGGGTACTCCTCAGATCAGCCGCATGGACTTCGCCTTCGCCTTCGACCCCATTGCCGCTCCCGACTCCTCATCTCTCCACCATCACCAACCCGTCTCCTACCTCGAACCGTCCGTTTTCGACCGCACCCTGCGCCTCATCACCCTCGACGTGGCGCCCTATGTCCGCGGCATCATCGCGTATGAACTGCACCTTCAGAAACAGCGTATCAAGCTCAGCAGCCTAGTCAGTGAGGGTGGCACGGGCGGACCAGGGTCGAGACGTATGCGGACCACACGCGCGGCGCTGTCGGCGCTAGAAGGCGGGACGCGGAGCGCGACGAGGGGGGAGAGATGGTTTAAGGCGGAGATGAATCCGTATTTTGTGGCGAAGACGGCTGGGAAGGGGTGGAATAGCTTTGAGGAGGGTGATCTGGAGGAGGTAGGGGAAGAAAAGGGGAAGGTGGCGGACGCTGGAGGCGTGTGGTCCGATTCAAGCCAGGAGGTGACGCCCAAGAGGGTGGTACAAAAGAAGAGGAAGCGGAAGGTGGTGTTAGAGGGTGAGGAAGATGAGGAGGAACGCTAGTAGCTCAGCTCCAGGCGATGTAGGTGTGGAGACGCCGTACTTGCTTCTAAGAGGGGAGGCATACATCATCACCTGAACTTGCGATGGGTTATCTAGCTAGATGAGACATGACGTTGAAAATGATATAAACGAAAATCAAGGCGCCCGATCTTGTGGGCATGTGGCAGGTAAATAGCAAAAAGCAGGATGCTTCCAATCAAGATATTTGCCACTATAAACTCAACCAAAACATTTACGCTATTCATGCAATCGCGGACTAGTCCTAACCCTCTTTACATCAACTCACTCGCGCCTCTCAAGTCTCTTGGCTTTCAGCCCACCCCATAACTTTTCACGCCACTCACGGATCACTGTCTCCCCTTACCGCCACTCTTTCCCGTCATAGCCCCCATCCCAGACCACTTTCTCACCCACCGACCCCCTCCTCTGCCGTCCTACGACCAATTTCTGCTCCCCATGTCCAAACCCATACCCCGACGCCGCCGCTCGGGATCCTGAGCTAGACATCGAGCCCGAGGACCAGCTTGCCGGATTCGTTGTCCATCTATCCGCCGGGTCGACCAGGACGTACCGCTTAGGAACCGAGTGATACTCGACATATCTCCCCTCATGTTCGCGCTCGCGGGTATGGCTCCGACTACGACGGGATGATGTACCAGCATGGGCATCACGGGCGCGGTATCCCTCGTCGCCGTAAGCACCACCGTACGGCCCACGCTTCGCAGCCGGCCCCGCGGTAGTATCCGCAAACGACACCCGCCGCTGCGGTCTACTCCGGTAATACTCCTCCACAATCTCCCGCTGCTGGCCCTGCCCCTCTTTCATACCCCCCCGCTCTCCCTCCCTCTCACAACGCCCACCACGCTCCCCCGCATACCCACAATCACACACTTCTCCTCTTCCTCCTCCTCCTCCTCCTCCCCCAACACTCGCACTTCTCCCCCGGCCCTTCCCGCGCCCCTGACTACCCTCCGCAACCTCCCTCTCAACCTTTCTCCCCCGCTCCGCCGCCCTCGCCTGGGCTTTCTCCGCTCTCTTCTCAGCGGCGCGCCGTTCCCGCGCTCGTCGTGCTAGGCCGGAGAGCTCCCAGTCTTCTTTTTCGCCATGGGGGTAGCCGCGCGGCCAGTAGGTGTGGGCGAGATAGGAGGCGGCGGCTATGGAGCCGAGGAAGATGTATGGGGTTTTGCTGTGGCCATGGGCGGATTTGGATGTCGTGGAGGTGTTGGAGGTGGTGGTGGCGGAGGTGCTACGGCTGTGGGTGCTGGTGTTGTTGCTAGCGCTGGTGCTGCTGCTGCTGCGGGTGTTGGTGCTTTTGCCGGTGCTGCTGCTGGTGTTGCGGCTTCTGCTGGAGGAGGGGGATGAAGATGAGGATGGGTGTGAGAAGGAATGGGAGCGGGAGCGGGGTAGGAAAGGAGAGCGTGGTTTGGTGGTGAGGGCGGTTGGGGTCTGGGGGGGACTGTAGTACATCGGCATTGTGAGATATTTAGAGAAAAAAGCAAGTTATGGTGTTGATATTGCGGGTAAAGGAAAGGGGTTAGTGAAGAGTCACTACAGGTCCACTGCCATGGTTAATATCGCTGAAGATTGAGAGAACGAATCAGAGAGGTCAAGCAAGAAGGAAAACGAGCTAATTGGTACATGATGGCAGCTTTCAAGGTGTTATATCCCACCTCGCCTCACACGAGGGCCGTCAAGACTGGCGCAATCTGGAACAAACTGTCTGACGGGGTGTTGGCCGTGCCGCACAACCTCATATTCGGCTGGTGACTTTGAAACCGAGCGAGCTCGCCGGATGGGCCAGGCCTGCGCTGAGCCATAAAACAATCACGGGATGTACTAAAAAGATTGTTGCGATTTGCTTCTTGTCAATTAGTCTGCGTCCATAATTACAGTATATTGGCGAAAATACAGAATTATGGTAAAAGTATCAACAAAGGGCTAGGGGTGATAATCGCTTCCAATGGGAGCTGTCACGAATCACTGTTGTCGGTTGGCCTGCTTGCAATGGCCCATCGGAACTTGTTGCGAAACTGCGCAGCTGAGGTAATTCGAACCCGAGAACCGAAAAAAGGAAAAACAAAAAAAGATGAAGAAGAACGAGGATTGTATATGTTGATTTGGTCTAATCTCGGGTGGATGGAGAAAATGGTCACCAACTGTCAAGGAAATTAACATTAGCGGGCCGATGCAGCCAAGACACTTGGCTTGGGGTGTTCGTTAGCGGATCTACTTCGGGGCAGCGGGTACAGATGTATTTACATATATCCACTACCTATGTATGTTCCTGACGACACTGGGGTGAAAGCCCGAAGATTTCGACGGCTCGTTCCCTTCATCACGTCCCAAGCGCAGCCCAGGAATGCAATGAAAAGAGAGATAGAACAGAGAGATAATGATAGGACTGGGGTTGCGTCGCCTGGAGGCAGTGATATACCAGGGACACTGAAGCTTCTGCCATGGGACAAGCCCAGGGGGCAGGCGGCCTCGGGTGACAAAAATTGAGCGGAATCGGAGATTCGGGATCTCGGCGATTAAGCGCGAGAAGAACAGATACTACACTTGATCTAAGCCATGAACGGCGAAGAGAGCTGAGGAAGGAAAGAAGAATCTAACACCAGGAAAGGACAGAACGGCCAACATTATATACACAGTAAGTGCGACCCGTGTTGCGGGACGAAGTAGGCACCAGCCGTCCTCATCCGTCCTCGTCCTCATCGTGCCTCCCGCTCAGCGTTGAGTCAGAAATGGAAGGAGGGATCGAGACCTGCCTCGACCAGGTGCCCGTTTTCTCTCAGCCGCTGGCACCAAGTGGCAATGCTTTGCGGGAAGAAAAATGCAACTTCGTTCTGAAACAGGCCTTTTTGATCTTTTTGATCTCACTCATCCCGCCTCATCCCAGCTGCTTCGTCCCATTATGTTTATGGGCTTGCAGGGCCGGCGCCAATCAAAACAGGGGCTGGAGCGGGGCCATCAAGTCTCTCATCCACCCCGCCGATCTCGAACATGGAGGAGATGCTGAGAAAGCAAGCCGAGGCTACATAGTATGTCTTTGTTCCTCAACTGAGGTTTGGAGTCCGGGTGGGAAGGACTGAGATGAGTGGTACTGTGCCGCATAGGCTAGGATCCCTCAGTTCGACCTAGCCTAGAAAATTGTTCTTTGACCTACCAGACGACACTTGAGAACTCGAGAATCTCAGGATTCAATCGCCATCGCCAATCCATTTCAATGGGTAACATCCCGGCCATGCCCCGCTCTCGGCATCCCGAGGCGCACAGTAATCGCCTGTTCCTGGCTGGAACCCACAGTCCATGACGCAGTCGCATGGCCTAGCCCATTTCCAGCCTCGCCCTTCGCGTTCCCTAAGACCGGCATTGGCAATGTCCGTCGATGTTCTCCCTGGGCGAACGCTTCCAGGTTGCTCGGGGCGGGGCATGTCTTGACCGGTTCACTCCGTTTCTTCTACCTTAAACGCCCCGGTTAAGAATTGCGAACGTACCATTGATTGAACGAGCGAAGCCGTTCCTCTCCAATGAACAGCTTGAGCGTTCGTTGTTGATCTTTCATCATGGCGACGACAGGGCAGGGTCCGCCGGACCCGGGCCGCGGCCGCTCACAAGGCAGCCCAGTTACGACGACAACCACACCAAATATTTACCAAGAGAAGGAAGATGCTACGCCTCGCCGAGACGACGAACGAGGCGAGGCCAATGAGGCCACAGACGATGTGAAAAGGACCGCCACGACGCGTAGTGACAGAAGAGGTAGTGCTGTCGACGCGCCGGGAGAGGAAAAGAAGCCCAACTGGTTCAAGGGCGTTGCTGCAAAGCTTGGTCTCGATGTGCCTACTGTCGCTACCATGTTCAAGTAAGGCGGGAATTTTACTTATAGTCCTTCGAACATCACAATACGCATACTAACCAACGACTCACAGAGGCTCACTGCCACCAACAATAGCCATCGCCATGTTGCAGTCCCGCCCCGTGGCGCTCTACTTCTCAACACTCGGCTACCTCATCCCCGTCATCAGCGTGATTGCCATGGCCATCATGCCCCGAGGCAAATTTCTCATGAACCTCCTGCTGAACGCGATCGCCGTGTGCGTCGGCTCTGCCGTATCCATGCTGGCCCTTTGGTCTGCCGTCCAGGCCCGCCAGAACACAGCCCAGCCCGGCGCGCTACCAACGGCATACAACTCGAGCCAATCGGCTGTGTGTGCCATCTGGCTGTTCGCGAATATCTGGTTCGGCAACGTCGTGCGTGCCAAGCTGCCCGCGTTCAACCTCCCCATCATCACGTACAGCATCCTGGTCAATGTGGCCGCTACCTTTGGGCCCATCATGACGACGGTGCCGGCCGCGCGCCTCTTTGTTCAACAGCTTATGACGGCCATGTTGGCTGCTCTGGCCATAGCCACGGGTGTCAATCTCTTCATATTCCCCGTCAGCAGCCGACTGGTGCTGTTCAAGGAGCTCGCTGGTGGGGTTGGGCTGCTCAGGCAGCTCATTGCCCAGCAGAAGGTCTATCTTGCGAGCCTTGAGCCAGATGCAACTTTCAACGCCGCCATGCAGACCGAGACGTTCCAAGCGAAGGGAGACGGCGAGGAAAATGAGGAAGGGGAAGAGAAGCCGAGTAAGGAGAGGGAGGCGGCCAAGGTGCTGGAAGAGACGGGGGCGAAGCTGAGAGAACTAGCGGGGAAAATGCACGCCGATCTACCCTTTGCGAAGCGCGACATCGCATGGGGAAAGCTGGATGCCAAGGACCTGAGCGAGATGTACAAGTTGTTCCGCAACGTTTACATTCCTGTGTATGTCTTCACATGTCCACACGTTTTCGGTACCTGCTGACCTGGCCATTAGGTTCGGGATGAACACCATCATCGACATTTTCCAACGCTTCTCCGCGCGTCCAGAGTGGGAGAGCACCGATGACGCAAACGACAGCAAGGATATAGAGCGCCACGTGTGGAATGAGGTTATGAAGCAGGTGCAAGAGCCGTTGGACATCCTCGCCGAGGCAGTCGACCAGGGACTTGAGCACGCCGCCATGTGTCTTGAGCTACTCAAGCGACCCAAGAAGCTGACAGCAAAAGGGGCCACGCAGGAATCATCTAACCCCCCCGACATTGATTTGGAAGCCGCCGAGGAACCAAAGCCCGGCGACCCAGAGTTCGCCCGGGTGCTGGATGACAAGATTCAAGTCTTTTACTCGAGAAAGGGGGAACTCCTACGCAAGTGGGTGCAAGAAAGGGGCGTGCTCTTTGATGACCACACGGCCGAAAACCCGCACTTTAATAGCGAACGCGACCAGGTACAGCTCTACATCATCTTGTACATGGAGAACCTCATGCACGCCTCGGGAGAGGCGGTCCAGGACCTCGTCGACTTTGCCGATGAGAAGGTCGAGGACGGCACCATGGCGAAGAAGCGCTTCATCGCCCCGACGGTGCATCGCCTGCGCAAGTGGCTCCAGGCCGTCTTCGGCCACGAGGACTCATCACCTGACCAGACACCCGACGTTCTCGAGACGGGCGCGAACCTGGTGCACTTCGGGAATGAATACAACCGCAAGAAGAACCCGGAGCGGCTGCCGCCTGAGACCGCGTGGGAACGATTTGGCGATGGGCTGCGCAAGATTCCCAAGTTTTTCGGTTCCGAGGAGTCAGCGTTTGGGTTCCGGGTTGCGTGTGCGACCATGACGATCGGGATTGTAGCGTTTCTGGAAGAGACGCAGCGCTTTTTTATTGAGCAGCGGTTGGTGTGGGCTATGATCATCATCGCTATCGGAAGTGAGTACCCCTTTTTGTGGCGTGCAAGGCCCCGCATGCACGACGAGTTGACGACCTAGTTACATTGACACTGACTGACACTCTTGAATAGTGACCATGAGTATGTCCCCCTTTTTCACGTCCTCCTTTCTTTGCCTTTGTCTAACCCCATACAGCCTCCGGTCAGTCCATCTTTGGCCTTCTCTGCAGGATAGGGGGCACTGTCGCCGCCATGTGCTTTGCCCTTGTGATTTGGTACATTGTCGACGAAAAGTCAGCTGGGGTCATTGTCTTCCTCTGGATCTCCGTCTTCATCAACTATTATTTCTTCATCAAGTTTCCGCGGTTCCTCCCTGCGGTCCTGATATGCGTCATCACCCAGGTCCTCATCATCGGCTACGAGCTGCAGGTGCGGACTATTGGTCTTGCGGCCGCACAGAGGACTGGCCAGCCTTATTATCCGTAAGTCACCCCCTTGCGTACAAGACCCTGAAGATAAACAACATAGGGGTGATTATGGTGTGTGCATAAATCTAACCGAGGCCTAGAACGTATCTGTTGGCGCCATATCGCGTGGCTTGTGTCGCTGGAGGCAGCTTTGTCGCTTTTATCTGGACCATCTTCCCCTCACGGCTCACTGACCGGACCTGGCTCCGACGTGATCTCTCGGCAACGCTCTACCTCTTGGCCAACTACTTTGGCGTTGTCAGCTCCACGCTGCGGTCCAACGTTCACCGCACAGCCGGCGATGTCAACGTCCCCGGCACGCCCGGCTACCAGCTCTACAAGGTCGGCCGCAAGATTTTCGGCAAGGTCATGATGCTTATACCGTCCATGTCGCAGCACTCGGAGTGGCAGAAATGGGAGCCCACCATTGGTGGCAAGTTCCCGCGCGCCGCGTACGACGACATTATCATGCGCAGTACCCGTATCCTAGCCTACCTCACACTCACTAGCTACACCCTGATGCACCCCACCCACGTCCGCCTCAACCACGACGGCGACGGTGACGGCGACGACGTACCGGGGTCAAAATCCCAGCGCCAACAACGTCGTCGCCCACAGCTCCGCGGCGCCTCATTGTCTCTGCACACCCGCTCCCGTGCGCCGTCGGTGTCCTCCACGCACCGCGAGTGGCTCGACGCGCTGAGCGAGGTTCTCGACGTACTCAAGCCGACCCACCACACCATCCTGTCGGCGCTTACCCTACTATCAAACGCGTTGCTCTCGGGCCAGAGCCTGCCCCCGTTCTTACCGCTGCCCCGGCCGTATGAGATGACGAGACAGTTGATGCGGATCCATAGAGATGCGTTTGAGCCGGGAGGGGAAGACCAAATGAGGAGATATTCCGACGCCGGTGTACTATTAGAGGAAAGGGAGGGTGACTACGATGCTATTGATGAGAACGACGATCACAGCGATGACGATATCGCCGACGGCGGGCCAATCCGCATGGTTGACTCGCGCACCGGACGCGACGACTACTTGCCCGGAGGCGGGACAACACGCCGACGAAGGGGGTCAGCGCTTCCCTCCAGACAGAGGCAACGGTCAGCGACCCGTCCGGCCCGCCCAGCCCCCATGCGCCGCCGAGTAACCACCCGCCGCGACCAGGCCGTGGCTGACATCCTCGACCCGCGCAACATGGAGCAGCCGGGGTACGCCGAGTTTGCGGTGCTGCAGATTTGCACGACGCTGGTGTGTGATGACTTGGAAGGGTTGGTTAGGGCTGTGAGCGGGTTGGTTGGGGTGGTGGATTTCAGTTTTAAGGTTGGAGGGGAAAGTGATTCGAGTTTGGATTTGGGGAAGGCTGGTGAGAAGGGGAGAGGGAAGAAGAAGGCCCTGTAGATAGTTTGACTTAGGGTGGGGTTGAGTCGTTGAGTTGTGTGTGATACCCGCAAGAAGCGAATGGGCTACCAAGATAAGTTTGAGTTAGAGCTGTTCTTTAACATTAAGAAGGATGGACACTACAGTCATTATATGTGATGTATGCACTATTTATAAGAGATTCCACCTTCGACCGCTCAAGACCAATTGTGTCTTCACCTAGGCCTGCAAGATCACATCGACGACGAGTGGGCACTCGAACGCGGAAGACTCTCTCTATTGTCTCTCTATCCATCTAAAATATCAACACCCCCACCAACCAAACTGGCCCAACCTCCTTCTCGTCCAAGGTACCTCTCTTTTGTACGCGCATGTATCTATCAGATCTTTCTCTATCCTCTCTATGAACCCCCTCTCCCGCCAAAATCACACGAAAACCACCCACGCCAAAACATGGTATTAAAAGGAGGAATAAAACAACAAGATCAGCCAACGAAAGTCGGGGGTATCTCCATCGATCCATCCAATCTATCCATCCACACACCCATCTACCCATAACAACCCATAGAAGAGAACGCAAAATAAGACATGACAATACAACTGCTCCTTTCTCCATTATCCTGTCCCGTCTTGGTCTAGTCCTCCATCAAGACGTACGATAGGGCAGCCCAGCTCTATTTCCTCGTCTTCTCGGCCCACTTCAGCGCGCCCGGCGCGGCGGGGTCTGCCTCGACATATCGGCACTGTGTAAAGGTCGACCACAACTGGCCGAGAAAGGAGCGCTCCTCACGGTGGTACAGGTTTCCTAGCAGCGGCTTGATGGCCTCGGTGGCTTCCTCGGCTTTGTAGAAGGGGATGCGCCTAGGGACGGAGTAGGGTTAGTTTTTATCTTTGGGAGATAGTGAACGAGGCAATGGGGTTTGAGGAAGGGATGGGGGGGCGTACGGAAACAGGTGGTGGACGACGTGGGTGTCGATGATGCCGTGGAAGAGGTGGCGGCCGACAAAACCAAAGTCGCGGTCGACCGTGGCGAGCGCGCCCTTGACAAAGGTCCAGCTGTCAGCCTCGAAGTGGTGGACGTCGGGGTGCGTGTGGTGGAGGTAGGTGATGGCCACTTTTTTACGCAACGATTAGCTTTCTGCCTTCCTAAATCAAGGGAAGTAGAGTTAACATTGGGGAAAGAACATACCCAACCAGTGGTGAACCCAGAAGTACGGCACGCCGTACATGAGAAAGACGGTCTTCCACCCCACAATGGTCGAAGCAAAGTAGAGCAGGCTAGCCATCAGCGCAAGCCCGAGGTCAGTCAGGGCCACGTAAAAGGCCTCGCCCGGACGGAAGACGGCACTGGTAGGCTCAAAGTGGCTCAGGCGCCACCAGCTGCCCTCGCGCTGCTGGCTAGCCCGACCCGCTGAGACGTTGAACAGGAGATACGCCGGCCAGCCAGCGAGTTGGTGGGCGATGAGCTTGACGAGCTGAACGGCCGGCACATCTTCAAACAGCTCCTGGTCGAGATACAGGTTGGCGAGGCGGCGCTTGGAGCGGTCGGCCTTGGTAGCGGGTACAAAGGCCATGTCCTTCTCCATGTGGCCGGTGAAGCGGTGGTGGCGGTGGTGCGAGAATTTCCAGCTGAAGTAGGGCACTAGCAAGGCCGAGTGCAGCGTCCATCCGACAACGTCGTTGAGCCGGCGATGCACCGAGAAGGCGCCGTGGCCGGCCTCGTGCGCCAGGATCCAGATACCCGTGCCGATCAGGCCCTGGACGTACCCGTACACCGTCCAGGCCGCCACGCGCCAGGCAAAGTTCTCGATTTGCGGGATGTAGGTCAGCGCAGCCCACCCCAACACCGCGGCCATGGTCAAGTCGCGGGCCACATAGCCCATGGAGACCCAGGTCGAGGGCACAAAGCAGTGGGCGGGGATAGCATCGCGGATAGTCTGAATGTCAGGGTACACGGGTCCCTCTGCGAGCTTGATGGGTGCTGAGGGGACCTTGCTGACGGTGGCCTTTCGGCTGCGCCTCGTCGTCGTAGTAACTGTTGACATTGTGATTCTCGCACGGTCGAGTGGGCAACACGGGATGTTGCTACTCGAAAACAGCGAAGAGGCGAGGAAGAGAGGGAAAAGTATCCGTCACGAGGGAGAAAAGGAACAAGAATGAAGAAGGGGGAGAAGCAGAACAGGATCCCTCCTTGACGAACGGGACTGTCCACGTTTTTCTTCACCCCATCATCTTATTTTTTTTCCTACCCTCGCTCTCTCCCGCTTGCTCTCTCCCCCATTTCTTTTTTAGTTGGCTGTCCCCTGTCCACCCTCCCGCCAAAGATCATATCCACAATGCCCACACTGCTTTACCGATCTGGCCAGCGGAGCAGTTGTGAAGGTAACGAGCCGCATCCATGCCACTTTGCTTGGCCCCAGGACCATTTAAGATTGCACCCCAGATCCCATCTGGTCTCTTTTTTCTTTCTTGCCCGTTTGACGTCCCGTTGGGTCAGCCGTGGCATCGGGCCATTTTCTTTCCGCAAATCTCAATTCGGTGGTGAAAGAGAGACAAACGACAAGCGTGTCAAAAAGGAGAGTGTGAGATTGGCATGTAGTTCCATCAGCTCCGGCGGTGTGGTTCGCCTGTTGGTAGCACGTTTTTGAGGCTCGACTTGTGTAACGACGAATAAAAACGGAAACCAGCCGAGGCGAGATCTTTATTCACGTGAAACCAGGATCCTGTGGCAATCCCAGCAACCGTTGGCGATCGACGGTTCTGTTTTGCAGACAAGCGAAAGGGGTCTTGAAGAAAAAAATCCACAAAAGGGGCCTTTCTCGAACCCATTTAGGCATGGCTAAATGGGGGTCCACCAGGGGTGGTTTGCGGACCTTGCGAGCTTGGGGGGCGCCAAGCCGCTAATGGCATGGCTCGAGGTTTACCGGGCTCTACATAAAATAGAGCTTTCATCCACCGAGCTTTTCCACTTTCCTGTAGCACTAAAAGACAGCATGGTGGGCGAGTAGTGTTCATCAACACAACTCCAAGGAAGGAGCATTGGAAGGGATTCATCCCGGATTCCCGCACTCCCATACCGATCCGAGCGGACGCACCGATCTACACGCGACTTCCGTCTCCTAACTTCTGGATGCATTCTTCCGCCTATGTGATTGGTACGCTCATACGGTTAGATACAGTACATGGACGAGCGCCCGGAGTTTCCCCTGGGCACGTCCGGACCCCGAAGGAGCAGTGCGTGCCGGTGTCCTTCTATGTCATATGTGTCGAATAATCCAGAACTATTATCGTCCCACGGACGTATAAAATGGTACTCTTCCCGTCTTTTGGGGCTGCTGCCCAGGATCCCCAGAAAGCCAGGTTCAGGCACCCAAGCAAACCGTAAAAAGCTTCCACGACAACTTGATAAGTAATCACCATGGCAGCAGAAAAGAAGCAGCAAATCACGTTTGAGGGTGCGTTCGAATTACATGATGTTACCGCCCAAGATATTCGGCGTCCGACTGACACACTGCGCAGACTACCTCGGGGTGACAGAGGCCGCCTTTGAGTGGGCGGACAGCTACGATTCCAAGGACTGGGACCGCCTCCGGAAGTGCATTGCTCCTACCCTCCGGGTACGTTCATCGGAACCCTGACCTTTGCTTTAGTTATCTTTTCTTTGGTCTGTCTGCCCAGCTAACCCATATATGATGGCGAACAGATTGACTACCGCTCGTTCCTCGACAAACTCTGGGAGGCCATGCCGGCCGAGGAATTCATCGCCATGATCTCGGACAAATCCGTGCTGGGCAACCCGCTACTACGCACGCAGCACTTCATCGGAGGCGCCAGCAAGTGGGAGAAGGTCTCGGACACAGAAATTGTAGGCTATCACCAGCTGCGCGTGCCACACCAAGTCTACACCGATGCCAGCCTGCAGAACGTCGAGGTCAAGGGTCACGCTCATTCCCACAACACCCACTACTACCGCAAGGTCGGCGGCGTGTGGAAGTTCGCTGGGCTCAACCCCAACATCCGCTGGTTCGAGTACGATTTCGACAAGGTGTTTGCCAGCGGCCGTGACAGCTTTGGCGAGCTTAATTAGGGGCGTGGTGGTGATACAATTGGTGGGGTTGTGAGGTCGGTTGGTTTCTGCAGAATGTAGCCCTACGTGAGGTAGTATGCAACCGAAACCCCCGAATGAATGGAGTTGAATTACCTGGGATTGTTCGATGTTAGATCGTGAAACTATGTCGTTGTTTAGACGTTCGAAGCTGCAGTAGGCGACCCGTCTATATCGACTGTGTCGCCGTCTATTTTGACGGAGTAAATTCCAAACCATTCCCAACAAGGTAAGAGGCGAATTGATCAACGCCACAGCGAAATTTGGCTGTGGCGTTGATCAAAGTACCGCTAACCTTGCTCAACATGTACCCAGACATTGTAACACGTAGTTATCTCGAGACTCCCAACATCGCGCCTTGCGCGATCGCGATGTTGGGCGGGCGCGAGGGTAGGAATCACGTGCTTTAGTTGAAGTTTTGTTGTAATTGAATTTTATTGCATTTTTAGGCGATTTAGCATACAATCGCCATGTTGCACGGGCGCAAGGTTAGGAGTCTCGAGATATACGTTGCAAAGTTTAGGTAACTACATGAGGAGCAAGCTTGGAGGTACTTTGAGCAACGCCACAGCCCAAATTTGGCTGCGGCGTTGATCAATTCGCCTCTTACCTTGTTGGGAATGGTTTGGAATTTACTCCGTCAAAATAGACGGCGACACAGTCGATATAGACAGGTCGGCAGTAGGTGGCTGGTGACCCACCAATGCCCTGGTTTGCTTGGCGCAACTCCCTAGCTTCGTGCTTCCTTCTAAGACAAGCGGGGCATCCCCAATTGTGTGGTGCTGCTCATCCCAACTCTCGCTTTTTTGCGATCACCAACTCGACCGTACGCGACGGAACAGGCCTTGGACTCTCCAAGTCACCAGCCCTCTTATCCCGATGATACGATTCAGGTGACACTGCGCGCTAGCTCCAACGGCGCGCAGCACGCCTCGGGAAGGAAGAGGAATAGAAAAGAGAAGACAAGATGCGCGAGTTCATGCACTACATCACCAATGCATTTTACGGCGCAACAGGGTGGAATGACGACAACACCTACAAGGAGCTCAACGTCACCGCGAGGGGTAAGTTCCCTTTTCACCCATACCTACCCCCATTCCCCCATAAATTCCCTTCCTAACTTGTTATGGTCCCTTGGACTCCCCTCTAGCTAACACCCAACAGAGCTCATCGACTTCCCGCTCCCGCGCGGCCTCCGTCTCACTCTCTCGTCCCTCGCAACCCCCCACTTCGCAACCAGCTACCAACTGGGAAGCATCGGCGTCGTAGATGGCTCCATCTCCTATCTCCACAGCACCGTCCCGCTGACCGGTGTCGCTGCCCGCTCCGACCACATTCCTTTGCCGACTCTCCTCCGGTCGTATCGCCGGCTACATGATTTGGGTTCGAGGAACACTGGCAGATGGGGGGTTCCGAAAGGGGAGGGGGTGGTGGATGGCGTGGAGGGTGTGAAGGCTGCAGACCTCGGTGACGATACTGCTGCTGCGACCGCTACCAACACCCCTCCCACTACCGCTGCTTCGATTCCGATTCCCGTCTCCCTCGCTTCCGCGAGAGGGTGGCTAGATCAATGCGGGGACTCTCTCTTTTACGGACGTTTATATCTGCCGCAGTCGCTTCTCGAGGGCCTGGTCGTCCGCCGGTTTAGTGCGGACCTGCAAGTACAGCTATCTGCCGTCAGCGAGCGCTCTCTTCGCAACGGTGGGACCCTACTCGGCCTCATTCAGTATGACCGGGGCAAATACGGCATCGAGGGACTCGCTTCCACAGATGGGGGCCTCCTGGGCTTTCGTGGGCTTTACAACTTTGGCGGAGACGCGTCACCACCCCGATCCCCCATTGCAGGCACACCGGTTAGCGGTGGGACGCCCACGGGGAACAACGGCAGCGGAAACGACCAACAGACAGCAGCCACGGAACGGGAACGGGACCGCATCTACGGCCGCTTCAGCGCCGGTGGCGAGGTCTACTACGGCACGCTCAACAAATCCGGCGGCACGTCACTGGGTTTACGCTTCGCCACGCTTCCTACTCACCGCGGAACCCCACTAACCACCACACTGACCATCAACCCGCTCATGGGCAACATCAGTGCCACCTACGCCGTGCTCGCCCGTGATTACTGCTCGCTAGCCACTCGCATGGAGTTTAATGTCTATAGCTATGAGAGCGAATGGGCTGTGGGCATGGAACTGTGGAGTAACCGCAGGCCGGCTGGATTCTTACTCGGCGCTGACCCCAGGAGTGCGAGTGCCCGTGAAGAGCACAAACCCCAACCGTCACCTCCCGAACCCGTCCCAACGGGGCCCGTGCCTATTCTAGAGAAGTCGAAAAAGGAGAGAAGTTTCCAAGCCAAACTAGAATGGCGCTTGGACGAGGATGATGATACCGTCCCTGCATTACCATCACCATCGCCATCGCCATCATCATCAGCATCAGCATCAGCATCACCGCCAACTCCACCATCCCCACTATCACCGACACTATCACCACCGATCGTCACCCCCCTCGATCCACTCCCAGTCCCGACAAAACCCGAAAACAACGCTAAGACAGAGAAGGACAACGAAAAAGAAGCATATCGAGGCGTCCTCAAAGCCCGCCTTGACCAGAACCTGCGCATTGGTCTGCTCTGGGAGGGCCGAGTCAAATCACTCATCTTCAGCCTCGGCTCAGGGATCGACTTACGCAAGTTGGACGAACCGTTCCGAAGCTTGGGCATGGAGATTCAGTTTTCGTCGTGACGCTCGTACATCACCAAGCGGCCGGTGGCCGCTCGGTTCCAGGGCATTCTTTTCCCCTGATATCCATACCCCTGCCGCTCGATGGAGGACGCTCGCTCCCGAGCTGTTGGGCCATGGCTGGGCGAGGCAAGCAGGTGTCCCTGGCGTGAGGATCCGTGTCCCCCAAGCTCCACCGCGACCGGCGCTAGCCGCCTTGTGAGGTACATGTGACCCCGGAACAGGTACTAGAGCCGTCGAGGGTTCCGCATCTACATTCTCCACCGACTGTGTGCGCGGAGAAGCTTCCACAGTCCTGCGGTTGAGCGTGCAATGCGCAGATCATACATGAGGAGCTATCAAAGACCCTGGGTCCGGCAAACGTGCTGATCAGGCGATCTTGACCCGGATAAGGGACAAAGAGCAAAACGGGAGCTCCCGTGCCCCTGGATGCGCGTTGACACGTATCTGTTGAGCTCCTAGGCAAGTGTGGAAAGCCACGAACCATTTGTCAACAGAATGAAAATCTCGCCATTGTACATAGTCAATTAGAATTACAATGGACCTGCTGAGGCCGGATAGATAAAATAGAGAAGGGGGTTAATCTCGCAATTAGTTCGGTTAAGAGACAGGTCATAGAGCAGGGCCATGGAACAAGGCCAAAACTCCCACCATCACAACTCACATTTTCCGCGTTGGTCTTGCAGGATGTTGAACCCTATCAGGGGAGCTTTGTGTTAACCATCTATCCTTGCCTGACACAGAGATGGAAATAAAAATCATCACCCATTTATCAAGGTCTATCATGAAACTCACTACAACGTCCATTCATCCACCCCGTCCTCGCTGAACCCTCAGCTCACCCCTATGTTCGGAAATATCAAACATCAATCCCGGAGATCTCTAGTTACAAGCCCCCTCCTCCAACCCAAGCCCCCGAAAATCTGCCCATGACAAGTCTTCATGAGCCGAAATATACCCAAAAATACAAAAAATGGAAAGCAACGTAATACGGGGAACCACCCGTCATACCCTTCCCAGTATGTGGAGCGTTCACAACCATGTGTGGGAGCAACGAGAAACAAAAACGTACTTCAACACCTTAGCCCCACACGCCGACGGTAAAAGGAGAAAAAAAAGCCCAAACGCCCCCCACCATCGCCACATCATTGTCTCCCTATGCCTTGTTACCCCCCTGGTTAAGAAGCCAACACTCCCAGCAACACGGCGGTAGAAAGCCCGCCTTCCTTGGTGAGCGAGAAAATCGAGAAGCAGGGTACCATGTCTGTTGTAACTGTAATTGTCCGTCGCGGGAAGAAATATGAGAAGCCGAGCAGAAGGACTCTGCGGATACGAGTCTGGGCCGTGATCCATGAGCATGACGGCGTTTTTATTTTCGAGACGGGACTCGGGCGCAGCGGTGGCGGTTCAACTCGCCGAAAATCGCCAGAGAGGTAAGTGTATAGAGTGGATCGATACTCCCTTAGTCCGTAGCCATCACCGACTTCTCGGCACGTGCGTGCATATGGTCGGCGTGGGCTTCCAGGGCGGACGACATCAAGCGTGTTACTAGGCACGTTCATCCCAGTCAGCAAATACCCTCCAACAGTCTTAGCGCACATCGTTAACATGATCGTCAACACTCACCAGGCCATACAGTAGCTTTATCAAACATGTACGCCGTAACCCTCAATAGCTTCGAAGCGTATCCCACCCCGTCGTCCACTCGCAGCGCGCTGTCCCGTCCATTGCCACCGCTGTTTGCCATGCCTGTCGGTTGAGCCGCACGTGTCTGCATCTCGGTCCTAACGCCGTGAACAATCGCGTCAATCTTGCCCAACAGTTTTGCATCCTCCTCCTCTAGCAGCATGATAGCGGGCACTTGTGAATAGTCGGTGCTATCCCGGCCCAAGATCCCTAGGTAACGTCCGACGCGGTCTTGTAGTGCCGCCGCCCACTCGGCAAGGATCTGGGCACAGTCGAAGACGCAGACCGCGGCGTGTAATGGAAGTTCGCGGCCAGTTGGATTCACAAAAGGGACGCCTAGCTCATTAGAAGCATGGAGTGACTCAGCCGCAAAAAACGCGGCTTTCCGCAACTGTTTCTCCAGCCGGGACGAAGAGCGGCTATTCGAGGTCTCCATTCCCTGGGAATGAGGGGGTTGCTGTAGCGTTCCAAAGATTACCGGTTTAGACACACCAAACTCGGGAGACGGGGTTTGTGTTGTCGGAGTACCGGTCGTGAGATGCGTTGTCCCGGCTGTGCTCATGGAACTACCTGAAGTGGGATCCATCTTTGACTCGGGCGGGTGGCCGTTGCGCTGGATGGTAACGGTGCTTTTTGTCAATTCCTCGGCCATTCCCTCCCAGTCCCGCTGCCAAAACCTCTCCTTAGACCGTGACATATTGACGGAAAGGCGGATGTGTGCCAGGTCCAAGAGGGGAATACAGTCGGACGAGAGAGGCCCCGTGCCGGGAGGTTTAGGCCGTTGGATGCTATGCTGCAGCCCACCAGCCCAGGCGGCGTGCCATGTCTGGAGGGCGGGCTCAATATGCCGATGCATCTTGTTCGCTTCCTCGTTCGTCCAGACCTTGTTGTGGTGCCGCTGGCGCGTTTCCCAAATATAGTTGTGCAGGGCGTGAATCAGAACCAGGCATCCAAAGCTACCAGGCTTTGGGTTTCCCACCGGCCGAGCATCGGGATTGGCGGTAGAGGCGAACGGTTGAGGAATATTGGGAGGCGGGTGGCCCTGGCCTCTCTCGCTGGCACGTAGCAGCTGACCTAGAGCCTCGTGGAACGTCATCCGGTTCTGATTAGCTGCCGGTATCCCACCCTTGGTACGGAAGGCGTCGGCATCCTCGGCACCAAAGAGCTCTTCCTCACAGGGAAGGTCGAGTAGGATCTCTGAGCTCGTCAATACTGGCGTGTGATTAAATGCCAAGACGAGAAAGCTAGACAGCGTGAAGATGGCGTAAAGGGTTCGTTTCCGTTCCTCCATGTCCTTCCAGCGTAGCCACTCGGCGTGCTGCTCGTTGGTCCGGCGCTCGCCGTCCGATACGTTCCAATAGCCAGCACGATCAACTTCCATCATTTCGGTATCTCCACCCACAGATTCAAGTTTTATCGGCCGCAGTAGTCCAGCCCCTTGCGCAAGACTTACTAGTGCGGCGGCGTGTGTGGAGGCTATCTCACCGGACCTCCTATCCCCACAATTATAACCATAAACGACATTCAGGAGCATAGCCTGGACCAACCATACGGGGGTCTCCATGGACGGTTCCTGCTGCTGTGAATCAGGGCCCAGCACGGGAGTGCGGCGAATGGATTCTGCCTTTCTTACGTTCGCCTTCCTCCTCTCATCGAGATACAGCTGGATCATCTTCTTAGCCATCCCAAATAAACCCATGGACGCCTGATGTTCCAACTCAAACAAGGCACCAATCGCCGCCACAGAAAGAAGCAAACAACCACTACCGCCCATGCCGCTATTTCGCCCGTTAGCCAACCGTTGTGAAGGGAACTCGAATGTCAACGTCGAAACGTGAATAAATGGTAGGTGGGGATGAAAGTATCGCAAGTACGATTCAACATATCGCTGCAGATCTCGGGTGGCGGGAAGTGTCGTCGAATCAATGGGATCAGAACTATCGGGGCTGGGACGGACGTCGGGGCTGCTCGTGCTAATGCTAGGGCTCGGGGTACTATTGGAGATCGGGGACGGATGGTTGACGAGAGGAGAGGTCGAGGCGGCAAACGAATATTTCCGCGGACCAAGCTTGGACGCCGGGGCGGCCGACAGGGCACCTAGGATGGCATTTCTTGTTGAATCAGTGATTGTCGAGACGGGTAAGGTGCCATGATGACTACTACCATTCATCGAGGACGGCGTCTCTGGGCCGGCACCGAAATTGAGCGCTTGGTTCATATTCTGGGCATTCAAGCCCGACAGGAGAGAAGGCGGGGAGGTTGAAAAATAGTTCTCCGCCATAGGTTTTGCGGACGATGGCTGGGGGGACACGGGGGCCCCGTTAAGTAGGTCGGGGAAAACGGAACCGCTAATGTCAAGAGAAAATGGATTAGGCATCTGCGGGGGGGGCATGATTGAGTTCTGCCACATGGAACTAGTTGCAGTTGTGGCCGGGTGGTGATTGGAGCCATCCACCATGACATCGCTGATACCGCTTTGGCTTGTTGTGCTGAGCGCGGAAGGAGAAGAACCATCCACCGCGGTCTCAGTTGGCCCATTGTTGAACGACATGGTGTGGTCGAAGCCCGTTACCCAGTCGAACTCATCCAGGGTCTGGGTCGCCGTCGACATGTCGGGAAGCCCGTGGGGAAATGGCGAAAGCGTGTCCATGGCCATAGAAGGCGGGGAGTCGTTGTAATGCAATGCATTAGGGTTGACGGTAGAGCCAGGAGACGCCCCAAAATATAGACCGCCGTCGATGTCGAAGTCAGTGCCGAAAGGCATCACTGGGGCAGTCCGAAGAGCGCTCGAGAAATCCACGCCGCCAATGCCGTGCGTTTCGAGTTTGGGGAGACCCAGTGGTGCACCACGAAGGGCCAAGGCCGAAGCCATACCATAAGCCTCAAGGCCATGGTGGGTTGGCAACCCAATTAAGCTGGGGTGGCGGCTGTGGCTCGGTGGAATTCTTGAAGCCTGGGCCGTAGCAGCAGCCATCATCTGGATGGCGGTGTTATCGATATGACTGATAGTGTTTGCTCTGGGACGCATGGATGCAGCATTGCTGCTGCTAGCCGCAGCCGGGCTGGGCCCCGCCACACTGTTCTTCCGAACCCGGCCGGCGCCTGGAGTAGCCCCACTAGCGCTCTCACGGCGATTGCGCGGCCGGGACGACGGGGTTGTTGTTTGGTGAAGTTTTTGCTGGTGGCGCAAGAGCAAGTCTCGGCGAGCAAAACATCGCGCGCACTCGGGACACTGGAATGGTTTCTCCTTGGTGTGAGATCGCTCATGGCGCTTCAGGTGCTCGAGCCGCGCGAAGGAACGTGAACAGGTCCCGCAGACGTGGGGGCGTGGTTTGTCGGTTTTGGGAGGAGGGAACGCAGTAGGGGCTTTCGTATTGACCATAATAGTCGAAGCTTGTGGACAAATTAGCCTTATCCGTCAAAAGCAGTCATCTTTTTGTGTCTTTTTTGCTCTCCCCGCGAACCCGGGTACGTTGGAAAAGGACGGGGGGTGCAGTGAACGGAACGCAATAAGTCGCGGGGTCTCAAGGCCGGAGCGCCGTGCGCTACTGCCGGAGGTAAACTTACCAGTTTCGTCACCTGCGGGCGCGCCGGCGCTCGCGGCAGAGGGAGTCGACGAATTGGACATCGTCGTCACCGTCTCGAGCTTGTTACCGGCGTCGCTTGACACAGTCATGGTCGCAGGCGCGGGATTTTGGGGGCGTTGCCGAGGGACTAGGTAGCCCTGTGTTGTTGTTTAGAGGCGGCTGCGGGAGTGTAAGAGCAAAAGCTGCAAGGGCATTCAACGCAGAACCCCTTCTGTGCTGCAGCACTGCGCGATGCTATGCTGAAGCAAGCTGTACGCGGTGCGTGCGTTGGGAAGGGTGGGGAGCAGCAGCAGCAGCAGCAGCAGGAGGCAGGCAGGGAAAAGATATGGTGAAAGCGATCGGTGGGTGGGGAGAGCCAGAAGCTCTATTCGAAACGGAAAGGCGAGGAGGGGCGAGGCAGCGAGGCCGATGCGCACATACTATGCCGGTTCAATTGCAGGGTATGTACAGAGGACCGAAGCTGCTCGTAGATTGTGCGGCTCCGTGCCAAATTTTGTATAAAGACTTGAATTGTGAGCGGACGCTCAAGTTGTTCGCCTTCTGCCTTGTGGTTTGTGGTTGCAAAAGGCAAAGGGGAGACCGTCCGGGCGCCACGGAGGAGGGCTGGCCCGAGAGCGGTACACAGGAATCTGTTCTGCTTGGCCAGTGGTCAGGGAACTGAGCATGAACCACATGGGTCGGGGGCCGGACGCCCACACACAAGAGAAGGTGCGCGCGGTCCCCTGGAAGCTCCCCTGGATCCTTGGGGCTTGGCTGGATTGCCCAAAGCGGTGCGACCTGCGGATGGCGAAATTGTGGGCGCAAGGCTTGTCGAGGGAGATTGTGTGAGGACCCGGCCCAGCATTGCGCCCGGCTGGTCAACAGCGACACAGTGCCAGCAAATACAGACTAACGGCGTACGCTAACGACGACCGCAGGTACGTACCAGGCTCCACGCCGTGCTTGAGCATGGTTGCAACACGCCGTCGCTGCACAGCACTAGGTCTCGTGGTACCGGGCCAATCCATCAATTGCGGAGCGCGAACGGGCGATCCTGGCACGATGTTCCCACGCACGACCCTACCAAATATCTTTGTTCGTCGACAACCTCGGCGGACATGCAAACAGGGTATTGCCGCGTCGGCACCTGTCGGAGAGTGGCAGCCAACCAGGCTCCGAAGCAAGGTGGGCCCAACCTGGCAGTGAGTCAGAATCACACTCTCTGCCAAGAAGAAAGATGGTGAGAGCAACCCAAAAGACGCAAACTGCATGAGCTCGACTTGCGCTTGCGGAAGCCGCAGCGTCAGGCTCACGAGGCTTTCTCTGCCCAAGGGGCCTTTTGCCGTTGTCAATATCAACAGGAGCATCAATTAAAATGGCGGGAGAATATAAAAACCACAGTCCCCTTCAGCACCTTTCTCAGATCGTCTTTTGTTTCATTTGACTATCAATGCAAACGGAACGATAAGCCTTCCCTCTTTAGCCAACGGCTTTCCGGGATGGGCGAAAGCAAGACCAAACGGCCCGTGTCTCGTGGCCGCATTTTGGACTAAGTTGCTGGCCCGAATATTTCCTCAAGCGTTGACATCCAGTGTATCTCTTCCTCTCACAAATAGGATCGACCCTCGCTCCCTCGTTGAGCCTCACACACTTCGTTCGCAGCTCAAAACGAGACGCGGCGGCGGACAGCCTTCTCTCCGTCATCGCGCATCTCTCTCTCTCTTTTGTTTGGCTCTGCGGATTTGAGAGAAGTCCCACCCATGTTTCCCTCCCAAGAGAGAAGAACAGGGTTCAGTGCAACCCTGCAACCTTGCCTTCTTTTCTCGTGACCCGTCACGGGGTGACGGGCTCGGGCAAGCAGGCAACTTCTTCATGTGGACGCCTGGCGCTTTGGCAAGTTGCAAGCTTTCTGGGCTGACAGGAAAAGTAGATCGTCACGGTGGGAGAGACCGGTCCGCTCTGTCGGCTGCATGGACCGGTTCTGCAGCAGTAGTGCGCATTGTTATTGGTCAACGAACCACACCGCACTATTCCTATTTTGAGCAGGCTCCACTTTGACAGTGCGTTGACTCTCTGCCAGACATGCTAGCAGATAGTGGGCTCTGGATCGACCTCGAAGGCCGGTGGAAACCGCGCCACGAGCAACTTGAACTTTGTTTTCTTAACAGGCGCCCGAAGAATGGATATTAAATGATGAAGTTTTGAGCCACGGAAACGGCGAAAAAAATTGGGCTTCGTTTCCGGGGATGGTCTAACTTCCAGTTCTCTGTCGCCAAATCGAGTGCGTGCGACGGCTCGAGATGCTCTGATTGATTAATCCCTGTTCCAAGTGCTCCGAAACAGGCACCAGGGCAAAAGAAGAGAGAAGAAACGGGGGAGGCCAAGATAACAACCTTCCACATATCTTCTTTCCAACGGTGTCCCGATGATGTTGAAACCTCATGAATAGCAACTATGATGTAGACTCAACTTTGACTGCACTCTAACGTTAGTTAATCCTCAGCAAGGTGGCAAGCCTCAAAGGCCCGCCCGAAGAAAGCAACCCTTCTCCAAAGGGTTCTTGATCGACAACCCAAGGATACTATTAATATACTCGAGCTGCCTTTGCTCCTGCCTGTCTGTGTGCGCGGCCTGTCGGCCGGCTGGGCTGCGGGTTGGTTGTGTCTCACCAGTCACAGCCGAGAAGCTCATCTTATCGGTCGGGGGCATTAGCCTAGACCCGATTCTCCTGTCAAACAAAAGCGCTGAAGGGCTTCCAGACATCACGGCTCTTTTCCTCGGGAAAGGAACAGAAATAAGGGGGGGACAACCGAGTTGCGCGAGCCTCCTTCAATTCTAGCATCAGCCTTCCTCTGGCTCACCGTTTTCTATATACCTAGCGAGGCTCCAGCTTGCCCGGCCCTCGCTGCCCAATTTAGCCTGGAAGCGAAGTCCAAGAATGCCCCACTACCACCCACAAAGTGATGGCTCCCGAGGTTTTGTAGGAGGCTCTACCTTTGGGCAGCAACTTTAACGACTGGGGTGTCATCTTTTTCAGGATATGCAAAGCCCAAGCCCACTCCCCTTTTTCTCCCTCCCCTTGCTTGCGAAAAATCTTGAGAACCGCGAGTAACTAAAAGAGCCAATCATGCACCCTGGGCCCGCCTCGGCACACGGCGGACCGTCTCTTGCCCACGACGGAGGACACTTGAGTTGCAGCAATGGCGGGGCCAGCGGCAAAGCAAACGGTCGCCGATGAGTCGATGACAGGCAATAAAGAATAAAACCCGCAATTGCCCCCACGCATCGGACACACCAGATGCATCAGACTTGGACTCCGGTTAGTCGGGGGACTTGAAACACCGAACGACGCAGCTCGCTGTGATCTAGATGATAGAGCATCGGAATGGCCAAGAAGCAAGCACCAACCGGCCCAGGAATGATACACTTGGAACTCAATTGCAAAGACAAAAATTTCCCAAGAAAGAAGAAATCCGACTGGGTGCATCATATCGGCGAGCCACATCGTAGATCTTGACTTGGAGCTGGGGCTCTTGCATCCCTCGGCACCAAATTTACCCCGCCACTCGCGATAAGGAGCTTGGAGGGGTAAAATTCGATAAGCCCTGCATCGCGGGGCAGTTCTTGGTCAAAGCTTCCCCAAGCTCCAGTGGTTCCCAGCCAGTCGCACAGCTCCAATCATATCCGTTCAGCAACCCGAAACATCAACGGTGCGTTCATGGAGCTTGCTCCCCCTGCCAGTAAAGGATATTCCTTTGCACGACATCTTATTCCATCCCCAGGCGCATGCCCCCAGAGCCCAGTACCGGGGAGAGGTATTCTTACAAGTCGCCTCTCTCACGTAGGAGATGTGTACCCAGCTGGCCGCCATCGGTCCCTTTTCACTTCCGCAGACATCCAGCTTTGCGTCGTCTTCGTCCAATGAGCATAGCACGTTGAGCTGCCACGGGCCGCCCCTGAAAGGAGGACCCCGCACAGTCCCTCGAGCACCAGCCCAACACCACCTTGTCACTCCCCTTACCCATCCAGCCACCCCAGCGAGGAGAGGAATCTCAAGTTTCGTCATTTCCTGGCTGCAACCACAACATTCCTATCCGTGACACAATCTTCCCGATTCGACGCACAAGCGACGGGAAAGCTCGGGTTCGTTAGCGCAGCAGGTGTGTACACGTTCACAGAAAAATCGAGAACCTCTCTCACGCTCTTGGTCAAGTCCTTTCCACATGGGTTGTTCCAGATCGACCCGAGAATATACACAACTCCAGTTCACCGGAAACAAACCTTCGAACACTGTAGCACAGCTAGTATCCCCAATGCAGAAGAGGGCTATCAATCTCCTGTCCTAAAGCTACAAGTCAGGCCATTGTTATTTTCCCGTTTATTTCCCTTCTTCAAGGGGTGAGCTGCCGTAGTAACCATGGGAATAGTCCCCCATGGATCTCTAAGTTAACCAATATGACAGGATACCTCGCTGGGGAAGACGAACATTGTCGGTCCTGAAGCTCGCAAATGAGTGACTGAAGACCGACCATATGCACGGCATCCTGCGATGCGACGACGGGCTCTGCAAACCCGTGTTGCCGCTGTGTGCTTAGAGTCCGCCACCAGCTAGCACCAGCCCATTTTCCGGCTCCAAATTCCCGCAATCCGTTTTCTTATTATTTCCCCTTTCTGCCTCGGTGGAAGGCACCAACCAAAGAAAGATCGGAAAAGGTTGTGTATGAATGGCCCAGGGGCAAGAGATAGCAATAGTGGCAACTCCAACCCACAAATACATTTTCTCGGCATGAATATAGGGCTAGGTCTCAACCTCGCCCAACTTGCCCTTTCCGATACCGCCCACAACACCATACCTAGGTACGCCTATCCTACCTATAATAATCGATACACAGTAACCTGGATGGATCACGCCCGTGGCCCGTATTAATTCCCAGAGTTTCAACCCCATTGACCACCTCACCACTACTGACCCTGTAGCATGATGCTTGAGTAGAAGAGTGATGGATCAGACCATTACCCAAAACCCCACGATCTGAGGGCGCGTCTCATTCCTACTCGTGCAGTACGCTTTCACAATCACAGGTTACAAATGGACTCATCATTAGGGGCTACCCAGGCTATAAACAGGCATCCCACGGTGAAATAGCGGAAGCGGTGCTCCGGCCTGTGTGATTTCGTACCGAACTGCAAGTATGAGCCTTCCCCAACCTCCCTATAAATAGCAGACTACGTGTTGAAAGCAGACCCCCTGTGAAACATCAGAATACTAGCTCATAACAGAATCACCAAGTGCCTCCAAACGCCCTAACTATAGTACCTTTTATACTCGAGGGTGCTGGTATCCCACAGCGTCCCAAGTGCTACAAAGTGCCTGGACATTGCCTTCACGCCCGATACTCCCCATTGAACGATACCCCCTCCCAAGTCCCTCTAAACCGTCCCCGGGGCCGGTAGCTGACAGCTTCCATTAACGTATTCTTTTCCACTGCCCCCATCCAGATCGCCGTGCTTTCGGATGCTATGTATTTCTGCCCAGAGACGACGCGAGAGAGTCAGGCTATCTTGAAACGTGCTTGACTACTCTACCTGTCCATCGAACACGAACCCAGCCGCGGATCAGGGGGCGAACCATGTACGGATCTCGGGTCAGGCCAATACTAGGCCGTGTGGTAAGACATACGTGTAAACTCGGGCAGCGGCGTCCCAAGACTTATTGTGGAAAAGCACAACTACTAAGGTATCACAACTTCAGCAAATACAAACCGCTTTTAAGTAATAGTGCGAGTGCCACTTTGTGAACATCATGTGGTAACCCGGCTACCGACCATTTTAGATGATTCGAATGGCAATACCTTTTGTGGTTATGTTAAACTTCCCAGAGGGTTAATATACACACCCGCGTTGTTGAACATAAACGGGGCGGCCGGAGGAAAAGCGAGAAAAAAAAAGATGATGCGAATCCTAAATCATCACCAGTAATGAGACCTGTACAGATCTCTAGCACTCTGGCTCATACCCCAACGAGGCTCCCACCCGACCTACATCCCAGGCCAATCCCAAACCGACCTCTCTTCATTTCTCCTCGTAACTTCCACCTCATCCCCCACCGACACCACCACGGTTCCAACCACCGCTTCTTTCACATCCCGCCCCCCCAAAAACGCATAGCGTCCAAACACCGGCGACCACTTAGACCCAGTGTCCACCCGCCTCTCCTTCATTAGCCGCTTCAACACGTTTCCCAATTCCCCCTCGGCCGGTTTTCCCGTGGCATAGTCCACATTGAGGCTCACGCAGCGGACACAGTTACCGGTGAGTTGCAGCGTCGTCACCCCGCTCCCCCGTGGCTCTACCCTTGTCGGCCCCTTCTGTTCTCGAATGGCCAACTCAGCCCAGAAGTCTTCTGCCCAAGGCTCTTCGCCCACGCCATCGACGACAACGTTGGGGCGGAACTTGTACATGCCCACCTCGAGCTTCCCGCCGTTGGGGTCTGATCCAGCGAGGAGACGCCCCTCAACGTCTCGTAGGGAAGCCTCCGAGGTCACCAGCATTGGAGCCACGTCCGCAAAAGAAATGAAGGGCCCGGGGGCAGATGTGGTGGATTGCTGAGTACCATTGATCAAGTACGACGTTATGGCAGAGAACCAACCTCCTCCCTGTTGCTGCTGCTCCTGCTGCTGCTCTGGGAGGGGCTTGGGGGGGAGGGTGGCGCCGAGGACAGCCCGGCGACCGTCCCCGAGGTAGACCAACGCCACGGGTTTCCCGAACTGATGGCTAAACCAGGCATCGTAGGGCTCACCCATGCGGTACGCTGTGGTCGGGCTGCGATGTAGGGGGGCGGTGACCTTGTCGAGAGGGGCCATGTCAGGCTCGAGGGGAACAAAGAGGGTCGGCTTGTCATCGCTAGCGTTTTCAGACGCCGACTCCCCAGATGGGCTACCATGGAATGTAACTAGAATCCGGCTTGGCTCTTCCTCGGATTTTTGAATGATTTGCTGTTCGAATAAGCCGCAGAGTGGGTGCGAGTCAATCTGTATTTTTTTCGTGATGTCCCCGGTAGAAGAATCTGTCTCGTAGAGCATGAATGTGCGATCATACCGAATGCCCAATGGACCAATCTCGGCTGATTGAAGTTTGAATCCCCGTAGACCCTTGATGGGGTAAACTGCGAGCTAGGAGAGAGGTTAGGCCAAATCGCCAACATGGCATATGGAGTTGCCCGGGACTAACAGATGTGATTTTCATGGTCATCGCTACGGACTAACACCGGTGGTACTCCTAAGCTATTCCAGCTGCCGGGGGTGAAGAACGGTGGTTGAGAAGGCCGGTAAGCGTATGTGAGGGACTTCGTAGACTCCATACGACGGATGAGGAAGGAAGAGCACACCTGATACTACATACATCTGCCAATGAAAGGGCGACCAATGACCAATAAGTATTCTCCGGCTTTCTCCCAGAAATGAGCCCACTCATAGCGCCTCGAAATTATAATTTCAGGGCGTAGGACGTGACCGCGGTTGTATCAGGACTTAAGAAGCCAGGTACTGTAGGTAGGTAGATTAAGGGTTACAAAACTTTTTACTATCGTCAGGCATCGTGGCCAACGCATGCCGATATGCTGTTGTTGTGTATGAATGCAGACTTCCCCGCTCATGTCATCAAAACACACCGGACTCTTCAATGGTGAAAATTGGTTCTGCAGAGGGGGGTAAATTCAATAATTAATCACATGGGTAATTGGACCTTAGCTGGCATGAGATCGAGCTGAACCGAAACAATTTACTTAGCAGGCGGACTCGCAGCACGAACCGAAGATGTAACGGCCCCCTGCGCGATCTTACGGCTGAATAATTGCATTTCGTGGATTCGGTACTGGGCTGTGCTTTCCAGGCTCCCGAGAAAACTCGAGAGGGGACTATGTGCTTCGACTCACATCACCAGCTGCCTTCAGGTGTGGTGGCGCTCGGAACTCGGGATGTGATTTGATTCGTTGTGATCCTACTATGTCAGACTTCGGATCTTGCTAGGTCTTACTGTTTTGCAGACGACAACTCTTCAATCCTTCGCTTCCCACGGCTCCGCATATCCCCGCACGTCATCATTTGGTCTAGCTACATAAGATGGGAACAACCCACCAGCGAGATTGAGGTTGCACAACCGGAGGTCAATCATCCATCACAAACACCTAAACACCCGCCCCCTTCACCCAAGATGGAAGACCTACGCATCACGCTGGACACCAAACCCGGCGCCTCTCTCCATGCCTCTATCCTTCGCCCAGCCGGTGATGATCACAAGGGCAACCCGCTCTCCAACACCCTTATCGTCTTTCTCAACGGTCTCGCTCTCCCCAGCGCTGGCTGGTCCGGGGTTATTGAGCGTTTGATCGCTCTGCACAAAGAGCACGGGCAACCGGTGCCAACTCTCTTCTCCTACGACCGTTACGGTCAGGGGAAGTCTGATCCAGACCCTTCCGACAAGGAGTCGGACTTGCCCTACGGCCATGATGCCCGCTCCGTAGTCGCCGATCTCCACCAGCTTCTGACCCAAGTTGTCCAAAGCGAACTATCTCACCGGCCACAGAACGACGGCGGCGAACAGGAGGCGGACCTTCGGCTTGTTCTAGTGTGCAATTCTATCGGATGCCCCCTGGCCCGTCTCTTCGCCGCCGAGCAGCACAGCAGGAGGCAGAAACAGCAGCCCAGTTTCCACATCGCAGCCTACCTTTTCCTGGACTCTATGATCGCCAACACAGATTTCGTCTCCCTCTTCCCCGACCCCGACAGCGAGGATTTCGGCAACGAAACCGACCTCCCTTCGGGTGTCACACTCACCGACCTGCGCCACGCCCGCGCCCAGTTCCGCCGCTTCTTCCATCCGACTGTGCCGAACCAGGAGCGCTTTGACCGGCGCGGTATGCGCCAGTTGCTCCCGGATGCTGATCAGCCTCCTCTACCCTCTTATGCTGGCGCGGGGGGCGAGAGTCTCCCGCCGCTGCTGACGGTGGTGGGCCATGACTGGGATGAGTTTGCGAGGCAGAGCGAGCAGGTGAGTAAAATGACTGGCTAGCTCCCTTCCTGATCAAACGGCAATGAGCAGCCGCCCAGGCGCGAAAGCTTCATGACATACTGTAACTACTTAACTGACACCCCTGAAAGCCCCCTTTTACCGTCTCTAGCGCTATCACCAACTCATACATGAACACGGCCTGGGGCGCCTACAACGAGGGGCTGACCCGTCTCGTACCGGTCACCAGCCAGGGTAGCCCCCAAGAAGTCAAGATCGCCAAGGGCTGCGGTCATTTTGTACAGAAGGATGACCCAGGTTTTGTAGCAGCCGAGATCAACGGCATTCTCGACGCGTTGGTGAGCCGTGGGCAGTAGCAAGATGAGTGATGGTCGGGGGTACGTGACATTAAGGAAGGTTATGCGATGGTAAGAGCCCGAAAACAGCGAACTACCAGCATCTGTGGCAGAACAAAAGCCCCTAGAAGGAAATACACATTAACATGTGTGCTCTATTGACGCGTTTAAGCATACTGCGTACAATTTTGGCATACAAAGTTTCGTATTCTGCCTAAGAACAGCCCCCAGCCCCATCTCCGTTCCACTCTCCTTTCCCATATATCAACCGACACGCGCCGTCCCGGTACCCCCCCATGATGACAGCCCTGCTATACCATCGTAACACCATGGATTCTTTTCGTGCCCAGCCGAAGACTCCCAACCCAGCTTCGCTCACCGCCAACTCGTGGCCGCCCTCGCAAGCTAGTCAAAACAACCCAGGGCCGTTACGCAGTCCAATACCAATTTTCGGCGGGATCCCCGAGACACTCGCCCACGGTCACCGCCCGATACCCGCGTGCCTGAATCTCACGAAGCATATGCGGCACTAGGGCCTCTGCCGTGTATTGTAGTGAGTCGTGGCTGAGAACCAGGAAAGAGTCTCCCCAGCGGCGCTCATCCAAATGCCGGGAAAAGTTCTCCATCGCCCCGGGATCGCCGGGCTGATTGTGCATATAGTCCTTGGGATCGACATCAAAGTTGACGACATGAAGGCCAAACTGCTGTGTCTCGTACAGGCACTCGAAGGAACATGACCCGTACGGCGGGCGAAGGTAGGTGGGGGCTTTGCCGAGCACTTCGAAGAGGGCGCGCTCGAGTTCGCAGATTTGGTATTCACGCGTGCCCGAGTCTACGACCGACAGGTCCGCGTGGCCCCAGGTGTGCGAGCCGATCTGGTGGCCGGCCTGGTCTATCCGTCGAAGAACAGCAGGCCAGGGCGTTGAGAAATCGTTGATGGCTCGGGACCAGTTCTCGCCGTTGATGAAAAAGGTGGCCTTGGCGTTGAACGCATCGAGATGGTCGAGGATCTGACTGGTGTAAATGAAGGGGCCGTCGTCAAATGTAAGTGCTACAACGCCGGGGACCGTGCAATGTTCGATGATAACGCCGCGCGGGACACTGGTAAAGGACCGGGCCGTCAGGTTGGCGGCGGGCGAAGGTGCGGCCTGTCCTTGAGAGAAAAGCAGCCCCAAGAGGAGCGCGCAAAGTTTGGTAGCGCTCATGCTTGTTGGAACCGAGGGCGTTCTGAGGCTTCAAAAAGGAAATCTCCAAGAAGAATGGTTTATCTAGCAATGATATAATACCGCAGGTACGCGGGGGGCGGCGTGTAATTCGGTTCGAGTTGGAGAACGGCCGTAGCGAGCTGGAAGATGAAAAGGAATACCGAGGTGACAGAGAGGCCTAGTCCAGCATGCCGCCTTAGGAGCTGGGCTAGGGCATCACTCAAACTCTCCTTCCTTGCTGTGCTAGTCCTCACAGGAAGGTTCGTCCAACCTAAGACTGCCGTCCGTTCGGTCCCTAACACTGGAAGGGAAACAACCCCTCCCCAAAAACCAAATGTTCCGATGCTCTGGAAAGAGAAAGGCCGAACCCAACTCGAGGAGTAAATATTTCAGGCCTTGGGCCATACTTTGGTTTATCATGAAGCCTAGAGAATAACAGTGCACGGTGAGCCAACTGAAGGTGCCTCTGAATTTTCCTTGAACTTGAAGGATCCGCAGAACGCCGGGACCAAAAAAAGGGCAAAACAACTTCACGCTCGCCAGCTCCTAGGTTTACCAACACCCGGTCTCGGGTTGTGTATGTTCGTTCGCCCCTTAGCTCATTTGATGCTATATCCCTTAGCCCACACAAATGACGCGGCCCCGGAGAGGCTGAGAATCGCCCACGGGAGCTCCAGCTCAATAACAGACCACACCCACAGGCATCCTAATGGTGGCGCCCGTTTCATGATGGCCAAATATCCGAACGAATTGGTGATATAGATGAGGTAGCAGCCCGCAGAAAGGCTCGTTGCAAAGAAAATGATTTGCCGAAGAGCGGATTGGTATCGTGGAGGAAGACCAGGAATGAGCCCCGGGTTTGCAGGGTGGGGATGAAAGACGTAGACGAGGAGACCGAAAACTAAAAAAAGAAGAAAAAAGTGAAGACCATCTGTTAGCTCTTGTACTTCCGTGGGTACCTAGCCAGAATAACGACGAATGGAACTTACCCAAAACTGCTTGTCCAAATCTCGCCCAGACCTTGGGCCACACCACACTATCGACGTTGTATTGGTGCTGAACGAGGACATCAAAGGTGAAGTGCAATGTAGCTAGGCTGACAGACCACAGCACTGTCTCGAATACGCGCTCGACACCGGGTGAAAAGCCTGTCTCGTCATCGTCATCCGTCTCCCTTTTCGCATCCCCTGTTTTAATTTTCTGCGCCCTCGGGATGGGTATCGGAGCGGCCTCTTTTCTAATCTCCCTCTCACGCTTCTGCGCCTGCTCAAACAAGCCCCTCTCATCGGCGAGCTCCAACAGCGTCTTTTCAGTTGGGCCGGACCGGTCGGGTTGCTGGAGTTTGATGCTCGAGGGCGTTTTGTCCTGGCGTCGTCTTGCCATTGTCATGGGTTGTGTTTAGCGGTACGAAATGCGACCTCTGACGCCACATGTGCAAACACACAGTAAGGCCGATAACGGGATGGGAAACAAGCGGAAAGTTGATGCTTGGGTTCCGGAACTGAGGTGCTGTTGGAAAAGCTCCCCCGTACCTGTGCAAGGTACGGAGTACTTCGTGCATTGCAGCCCGGAAAACAGGGGTCCGCGTACCCCAGCTGGCCATGAGCTCCAGAACCCCTGCACTTTCGGTGGCCATTGAAAAAGTTCCGAGGCACCGGTTAGTTCGGTAGTCAGTGCTCATCTCACCGGCGCCTGGCGCAGTTGACATGAAGTGCTGAGAAACTCCGTCTCATTTTCAAAAGCGGTGCTCTGAATACTAGCCCTAATATCATCGCTCTCAACTAGACCCTCGGCTTCTGCATCACGCACAAGTCCATCCATAATTAGGTACTTAGGTACCTACCTACGTAATAAAAGAGGGAACTCGAACCTGATTTACTACATTGGGCTAGCGCGTGCCGCCAGCCCTGCTCTGGTCGATTATGCACGAAAACCCCAGGCGAATGTCCACCTGCATCGCTCCGAGGGCCCCCGAGCCTTCCTCCTCGAGAACACGAGCGCGCGACGAAACCTACCACCACTTCTCCACGCGCTTCGCCCACCAGTTTGTCGATTGAATTGCAATTCTCAGACCCGCGCGCCGCCGTTTTCTCTTTTCTTCCATCTCGCCGAGAGCGCAGGAGCACGATGGACGTGTTTTGGACTGTCGGCGTGGTCGCCGTCGTGCTCCCGTCGCTGTACGTCTACACCGCCTCAGTTGTCAACACGCGCTTTCCGGCCCTGCGGAATAAACGGATTTGCGTCCTCATCGCCCACCCGGACGATGAGGCCATGTTCTTTTCACCCACCGTTATGGCCCTCGCTCGTCCCGACACAGGTAACCACGTCAAGATCCTATGCTTGAGCAGTGGTATGTTTCCCCCGCCTTCCGTCGCGCCCTCGCTCCACTCCGCATTACCCCTCCTTAGCCCCTCCCCAACTATAACTCAACGGCTCACTGACTGACTGCCTCTCACCTCATAACAGGCAATGCGGACGGACTCGGCGAGACACGGAAGAAAGAACTAGCCAAGTCGGGCACGATTTTGGGCTTGCGCCGGCCCGAGGATGTCTTTGTCGTCGACAAACCCGAATTCCCCGACAGCATGACGGCCAAATGGGATAGCGCCCAAATTTCCGCACTACTCCGCTCGGCCTTTGCGCCCCCCACTCCCCGGGCGCGCAGCAACAGCAACGCTAGCAACGCCAGCGGCGTCAGTGGTGTGAGCATACGCAGTGGTACCCGTGGTGGCGGCGGCGGCGGCAATAACAGCGACGAAGCGCCGACAGCCTCCATCGACGTGCTAATCACGTTTGATGCCGCCGGCGTCTCAGGCCATCCGAACCACATATCCCTTTACCACGGCGCAAAGGCCTTTGTCGCGTCGCTCGTGGCGGGCAAGCCTGGCTGGCAGTCGCCCGTCGACCTTTACACTCTTACCACGATACCCCTGATTCGGAAGTACACGGGGTTTTTGGATGTGCTGACGACACTTACTAGCTGGGCCATCGGGGCCGATAAGAAGGACAAGAAACACCCAGGCGGGCTGGTGTTTCTTAGCGGCCTAGCCGGGCAGGGCAGCGTGACTACTGCGTGGAAGGCCATGATTTCGGCTCACAAGAGCCAAATGGTCTGGTTCCGCTACGGCTGGATCACCCTCAGCCGTTATATGTACATCAATGACCTGAGGTTGGTCAAGGTGAAGAAGGGTAGGGCATAGGCGCCGAGTCACCTGACGGAACCTGCAAAAGGTGGGACCTGCTTAAATCAAAGTCAAGTTTGTTATCGAATAAACAACTTGCAAATAAAAACGCCGTCTTTACCCAGACTACGCAATGTGCGCCGGCGGGATAACACTGGGCGGGGCAGTTGGCAACAAAACAAACAAAGCAAAGGAGGGAACCAGAAAATAACGGAAAACCAGCACGTAGTTTAGATACACAGCAAATGAGATAAAAACCCTTACTACTACTGTATGACTCTGCCTTGTCGTTGGTTGTGAGACGCCTAGGTCTGACCAAACACGTTAAAATAATGCAGACTGGATTTGAACAAAGCAGGCAGCCATCTAGGTACATACATGGTACATACCTACCATACCGTAGGTGCATAACGTTGGCAGTTGCGGACTCTCCAGGGTTTGAGGTTCCGTAGTTGAGCCGCAGCGCTGTAGATGGCCAGGGCTCCACTCATGCCGCCGCCCAGAATCCAACCGCCGGACGCAGTAACAAACCCACAATCCACCCGCTTATTGCTCGACATTCTTTTGTATCACATTCAACGAGCAGATCACTCGAAAAAAGAGTGAGAGAAAGGGAGAGTGAGATAAGGATTTAAAAAAAATCCGGCTGCAGTTGTGCATCATAGCTGGATACTTTCCCTCACCACCCACCACCATTAGGCCCGACAACACCCATCACAAGAAACAACTAAGCACTCATCGATTTTACGTCCCGCCCGAGATCAACAATGGCCGAACCAAGGGACGAGACCAGCGGCACCGTTTCCGAGCCTCTTGATCTCGTGCGCCTGCTCCTAGACGAGGTGGTGTGTGTGAAGTTAAGAGGCGACCGGGAACTCAAGGGCCGGCTTCACGTGCGTAGCCTACCCCCACCCCCTTTGGCAATCTTTAGCCCCCTCCCCCCCCCGCCGCTTCAAGAACTAACAATGGGTATGCGGATTGTTTGTGTAGGCATATGACAGTCACTGCAACTTGGTTCTAGGGGATGTGGAGGAAACGATCTATGTGGTGGACGAGGAGGACGAAGAGGATGTGAAGGTGAGTTTGTGTATCTTTTGGGGGGTTGACACTCAGTTCGTCACACTAATATCCACACAGACCATAAGCAAAAAATCAGAGATGTTATTCGTGAGAGGTAGGCCAGCCTCATTCAGCCAGGATATATTTCATCCGTCATGTTACGATCGAACCGTGCCTTAGCTGACGCAATCCCATATCAGGCGATAGTGTCGTCCTTATCTCGCCACAAACGGTCTCCTTCTAACCGGGTCAACCGGGGCCCTAAGACCTGGGTTTAGGGGCTAAGATACGCGCTGAACACCGTGTTTATCACATTTCCAACTGCGGGCAAACGGGTGGGCGGGCGATCCGGCTGATTTTCACATGCGGCTGATTTCACTACGTCGAAAGAAGGTTGGGGTTGTAAACTCGGGCGGTGAGCAGTAGAGGGTCATTACTGGGCGAGGGGATGAATCTATAAGCGCGCCCTGTTGACCATCACCGTTGCCTCGCTTAGTTCAAACAATACTCTCGCCCCGTTTAACACAGCTAGGAAAGTTATGATGCTACAACCCGAGACATAGGTGGCCGTCTTACATCGACATCTTGGGGGCCGGTCAGGTACAGGCTAGGTTAAGGAATAAAAAATGAACATGACTCTAGTTGACCAAATCCCAGCGCCGAATCCCAAATTATACATCGTTAGTCGTGTGGTATATCCAATAATTGTGGTGTAGTCGTCTCCAGCACCGCCATAGTTAAGCTCGCACGCTCTGTTGTTCACCTATCCCAGAGCCCGCTCCCGACTCATCTGCACCCCCGTTCTCTGTCTCCTCCTGTCCCCCAGCAGCATCCGCCTGCTTCGGCATCAACGGCTGTGCTGGATCATACCCAACGCTTTTGACAATTCCTAGCCCCTTGGTACGGCCTTCGCGGAATAGAAGCCGATCGCCGGGAGCAAGATACTCAGGGCGTTGGACGAAACGGAAGGCAACGGTGGCACGATCACCAGTGCGGATGAAGGGGCGGTCGACGTCGATGATGGCGCAGGTCTGGGATACGGGGCCGACATGTAGCATGGCTTGGTATTTTGTTTTGATGGTGGTTGCATGAGAGAGGATGAGTACTAGGGAGGGTTAGGATACCGTGTGAGAGCGTTGGAGTGAAGCACAGGGAGCTCCTACCTTCGGCAACAAACTCGCGGTACACCTTAGGCGCCGCGCCCTCCGTCTTAGACAACACCACCATACCTTTCCGCACATCCTTCCTCCGCACGCGACGTAGGGCAAACGTGGCCGACTGGCCAGCGGACGCGGCCGGCACACCAATACGTTTCCGCTCGATGGACCGGATAGATGTCTGCGTGAAGCGGCCAAGCGAGTCCGGGCCAATCTGGACCTCGTCGCCGGTGTGGATAACGCCAGACTTGACGATGCCCGACACGACGGTGCCGATGTGCGGTACGCTGAAGGTGTCGTTCACATGGAATTCGAACGGGGCGCCCGCGTCGTAGCGCCCGTGCTGTGGGAGGATGTTGAGGAAAGTGCGGACGAGATCGAGGTTCTCGCCCGTCACATTGGAGACCTGGAATACAGGGCAGATACGCTGGCTAACGAACTGTGTGGCCGTGTTGATGCAATCCTCATGGTTCTTGATGAAGATAGGAATCTTGCGAGCTCCGGGGCTTTTGAGGATACGGGTGATCTGTGTGATAGTCTGCTCAAGAATCTGCGGCGGGCAGATGTCGATTTTGGTGATAACCACCATCACTGGCACGTTGAGTGCCAGCGCGATGCCCAGGTGTTCTTTGCTCATGCCGATCAACCCGTTATTAGCCGCCACCATAAGCAGGCAGTAGTTGGGGCTGCTCGACAGTAGCCCAAATACCGTAGTACGCAGGTACCGTTCGTGGCCTGCTAGATCCGTGAACGTGATGACCTTGGCGCTGTGCCGCCCCACCTCCTCCCACGACAGCTTGCGGCCCGGGGTGTCGGAGACCACGACCTGCCCGGTGGTGTCGAAGCCCATGATCTCCATGCCGACCGACGACGTCCGCCCGGTCTCAATCTCGTGCTTGTGGCGAAACAGGTTGACGCGTGCCTTACCACGACCATCATCCAGGTCACCCTTGACTAAAACCCCCAGCATGGAGCTTTTGCCAGCGTCGACATTCCCAACGACAGCTATCCTGGTCTCGATCACATCCTCGACCGTACCAGGGACCTGGCGGACCATAAACTTACCACTGCAATCGCAGTCTTTAGTTGGGACCCCATCCAACTCGCCCCCCACATTCTTCGTCAACAGTAACTGCGTATCCGCGCGCAGCCGCCGGGCGGCCTCCTCTAACCTTTGGCGGGCCTGGTCCCATTCGCTGCGGGACAACCGCAGGCTCTCGCCGTTGTTCTCAAACCCGACGTCGAATACGGTTTCGCCCTTGCCCTCTAATAATCGCTCCTTGAGAATCCCGGCCAGCCCCTCCCGTGCCTCCTCATCACCATCACTAGAAAGCAGCAGCTCTCGTAACCTCACCTGTGGCGTAGGGTCGGAGAGATCTAGGCCGTCGAGAATATCGTCCAGTTCCTCGTGGTGCTCAAGCTCATCCTCTCGGGCACCGGTGGTCGTTGCTCCTGATAATGCTGCTGTTGTCGTTGCGGCTGTCGTCGTTGTCCTCCCTGGGGCATTCGTCTGCTTAGAACTCGGGTAGCGCAGGGCCTGCTGCTTCTCGACGTACTCGGCGAAGTCGCTGAGCGCGGCCTCGCCTTTCCGTCGCTCATGCGCGGATTGTTTTATCGTTTTGTTAGACATTACCGTTGGTAGGGCTGGCAACCACCTTCGGCGTGAGAGAGATTGTGATACAGGCGAGGTGGTGATTTTCTGATGAGAGCGGGCGATGACTTCATTCAGCGAAATAGGTAGCTAAGGCCCGTTCTTATGTAGGTGCGTGTGAGACGTGGGTTGACGATGGACAGTATCACCGACGAACAGTGAAAATTTGTGAGAAAAGTTGACTAGTGAGTTTTCCTCTGCTTTTTGCTTAGGGTAGATAGATATATGCTAACATCTGGAATAAGATGCCTGTTTGGCCGGCTGAGTCGATCTTCCTGAAGTCTTCCCCGAGTCATCGGCCATGAGCAACAGCTGGGTCAGGAGTGACACGGGGACCCACTTACAGGGCTGTTCCCCATGCTGTTTTACCCCGCAACGCGAGAATCAGGGGTAGCTACCATTGAGTCACAGCATGCCGCAACAACAACCCCACCGGGCTGTCGTTCAGCTCCAAGACAACAGACGACGAACCACAAGGGCCATCACTATTATGTAGTTACGAATGAGTGTATTTATTTCGTTAAGTTCAAAAGGTAAATAGGCCCTGTGGTTTTCATCCACCTTGAGGAATTCACACATTTTCTCATGTACATTGAGTAATTGACTACTATGTAATTACCACTACGCCACAATATGGGGGCTTCGCCCAAGATCATTACGACCGACATCAACTTTTAGGTTCCCGTATTCGAACCCCCTAGCCGCTACCGCCGAATATAAAGATATGATACCCGGTCACCCTTGGAGAAAAAAGACGCTCCAGGAACCTAAGGAACAAATGACACATGGCGTCATACAGATGAAAACAATCCAGGACAACGTTGTCCATGGGGGTATCTCAACAAAACAAAAAGAATCCAAGTGAACATGACCGCCGGCTGAATAATCTCACACAGACCGCTTCCACGTACGATGACAGCGTCTCGCGCCAAAACCCTGGGCCGCACTTGCTAGCGGCGTCCTAACTAACACCCACTCGGGCTCTCTCCAGCACGGGAGTAGCTCACTGGCCCATCCGAAAGCGTCGGCTCATCGGCCAGGTCTGTGATCGACCCAGTTGCTGAGGGAAGCATGAAGGCTGTCTCCTGGCACTGACAATATGCAGGTGGGCTGGGCGGCACATCCTGGTAAATCGGCGGCGCTTCATTATCCCAGCTAATTCCAATCCCACCACGCTCGGTGAGAACAGTGGCAAAATGCATACGTAGGATGCGGCCGACGCCCGTGTGAGTGACTAGTGAGGGCTTGTCGACAGGCGCCCACTCTTGAGAAACAACCATTTCGACGACAAGCTGGTGGCTGACCTCGGTACCATCGCGGCTCTTGCTGTCGCAGGCATACTTGGCGTTCTTGGCTAGGTTGTAGTCGAGCTCGACTTCCACGTTGCTGTCGGTGGAACTGGTGTAATTGCTCTTCCATCCGCTGAAGAGGGTCTTCTCGCCGATGATGCGACTCTCGGAGCGGATCACACCCTTGCGGCTGGACTGGTCCTCCGCGGTTGCTACCGCTTCTCCAAGTTTCGGGGTATGTCGAGCACACGCTGGGGCGATCGTCTTTGTCGTTTCTTCGAGCTTCCAGGTCAGCTTCTTCAGCTTCCAGTACTCGACTGTGTTGACTTTGGCGTTTAGTTTGGCGATTCCATCGAGGCGGAGGGCAAGCGTATAAGTGCCAATCGGGTGAATAGCATGCGGGTAATGGGCGCTGGCCTTGATATTGGTGGGGGGGAAGACTCGGACGGAGTGGTGCGGCGTCTCGGAGGTCGGAAGGCTCCGGCGGACATCTAGCGTCCTTTCGAGCTTGATGGGGGCCATCAAGGCTGAGCTGTGCGTTGGGATCGCCTCCGCCTTGAACTCGTAGGAGATCGAGACCAGCTGATTGTCCATAGTAGCAGGGAGATGCCCGTCCAGCAAGACCGAAAAGGGGAAAAAATGCTCGCCTGGTTCGAGTGTTAGTATCTTTCTGTGCCTACCAGTGGTTCCGGCCCATTTGAACATACCTTTCACCATAACGAGCGGTTGCTGGAGCAACTCCCACCGCTTTAGCTCTGTCCGCTGGACCGCGCAATCGCCACAGTGGGTGGCAAATGGGCGTTTCTGGGTAACGCGGACGTGAAGCGATGCTTTCAACGACTCAACCTCCAATGAGTCTTCCTTGACACTCAAAAATAACTGGCCCGAGAGCAAAGCACCACTACTCCTCTGGGGTTCGCCGTACATAATCAGTGGGGGAGACTCGAGCTTCCAGTCGAGCATTGCTGGTGAAGCTTGAAGCGGTTCTTTGTTCGAGCGGCCAAAGTGCATACCAGGGAACGAAAGTCGATATTGCGCATGGGGGTGGTGGTTGCCATGGCGATGTCTGTGGCCCTTGTGCGTCTCGGGGCCAGGTGTGATCGCTCGGGAGTCGGCCATTTTGACCCGTGGGGAATATGGCGGGGCTGCGTCGCTATCTGAGCCGTCGTCGCTCACCGAAGATGAGGCCGAGGACGAAGACGAAGATGACGATGGCGTCCTTGGCTGCCTGGGAGGTCTCACTGGCTTGAGGGCGTCTCTGCCGGTGCGTCCCCCCTTTTCCCCTGGAGCCTTTTTATGTGTGAGGCTTGAGACCTGGACTTCGAGTGAATGTGTTGACGAGCGGATGAAATCCACAACTCGGTGTGGCATCTTGGCTAGTTCTCTGGTGTTCCACTTCGGCCAATGGCGGAGATAAAAGGAACGAACTGGGCGCCCCCGGGCTGCAAAATGCCCATCCACGGCTCGACTCCGGGGTATGGGGGCGGGATAGCAGTTTTTTGCCACCGGCGAGTGAAAATTATAGTAGCGCTCAATGAATTGGTTAGGCCGTGAGGTTGAGGAGCACTTGGTCGCGGTGGAAGTAGTAAGTGAACCCCACTGGGTGGTGAGAAATAGTATTTAGGATCAGTGATATGTCGTTCGGTAATGTTGGGCTTTCAGAGTGAATGAAGGACGTGGGTTAAAAGGTTAACACAAAAATGGGACTCTCGAACCCGGCCTGGGAGCAAATTGTATCTCATGTTGTATATGTATTCCGGGGCAAAAGACGATGCACTGTTTCTCTCAAGTAATTATGTGTAATTTGGCGGGGCAATGGGTACTTGCGATCCACCCATCGCGCGAACCTTTCGCCTGGAGGGGCGTCAAACAAGCGGGAGCCACTTGCGCCTCGTACGGTAGGAACCCGGCAGTCCACGTGCCTTGTATGCTGAATACAGGAATTTCGAGATCGGTGACAAGCCAGGGACGTTGGGGAAGTCACATGTAACGTCATTGGACGGGATCCGACGAAGCAAACAATCCTGCAATTGAAATCCTTCCTTGTGCTTGGATTTGACTTTTACATTTTGATGACCACCATGGTCATGTATCCAACGTGACACTCATAGAAGGCAATTATTGACGCCGTCTTCATTGTCGCTCCCAAGAACCGCCGTGGCCCGTGTTGTACTCATATGTACTGTAATGTACCCAAATGCCCGAAACGATGACTTGCACGCCGGGTCTAGATCCGATGATCGCCCCACACGAAACGAGAGGGCCAGGAAATGCCCAGCCGCTGCGAGCCGGCCCATGTGAGGTCACAGGGTCAATGGTCTGGCTCCAGGGGAGGTGCCTTGGAACACCAGTCAGCCCCTTCCAATGGCCAAGCATTCAGGTGATGCGCCAGGTCACCTGGCGATCAAAAGAGGTATGCGGAAAATTTTTCTCCTCCAAGGACGCATCCATTTTCATGTTGCCATTTGCGGGTCTTTCAAATCTGAAAGAAACTCGGGCCTTCTTCCTGACTGCGGAACAGCGAGATGCTTGACCACTTTTGGATGTTCCTTGGAAGCCCTCGGAGCGCGACCCCGCTGCCACCTAGTTAGTTACCAACCAGCCCTACGGATGCCCATAAGTCCCCTGGCTGGTCCTTGCGAAAAGCTTTCGATCTCACGATGCTCGAGACAGATTACGGAGTATTGCGAAAGTTTTGCTTCTGGGATACCAATAACCCATCTCTGGTACCGCAAAAAGGGAAAAGAAGGGAATAAAGTAAACAGCATCACTTGTGTCGCTTTGTTGAAGTGCGCACCTAAGCCAAGGTGCCAAGGTGTTCTGACGGCTCGGCTGTCTGCACCTGTCAATGCAGCCCAGCTACTCTGTACACTTCACGTGTAGCTCAATCCCTCGGAGATGTTGTTCTCGGGCTCGGGTGGCGACCGATATCCAGGCGACAACTCTCTCCAGCTGCAGAGTCTCATGTGCCACACGCAGAATCTCCCGGAAACCCTTTGCTTATTTGATTGGCACAGTCATCAGCGGCGCCGACCTCCAACCGCCGACAGCCGTTCGCATGTTCCTACTCCACAGTAGTATGGACGGAGAACATGATACCCACCTGTTGCGGCCTTGACGTGCTCGAATATTCGTCCAGGACACGGCCTCGACGGAAAAGGGGAACGAGAATGCCTTCTCGCACTGACATACCCATTGATCCACAAGGCTGCTACGTATATCAATACGATATCATGACGAACATAGATCCCGCCCGTTTCTAAAGCTAACGGTTGTTTGATCTCCTTTCTACGATCTGGATGGAAATACACCGGCTATCGGGAAACACTCCCGGGAGAGACAGGGCCATCTGCCGGGCATCTGGCGGCGGCGGCCGAGGGAGGGGCCGATGTCGGGCTCGGCCGAACCTCCACCATTGCCTGGATAGTGTGCCGTGACACCAAGTTGCGTCGTCGACTTGAAGGCTGTGTTAAAGCCCAGCCTCGCCCAATATGTTCCTCGGCCCGCGAAGCGTGAAGCCACCACTGAATCCGACTGGTTCTGTTCTGACACTGCTTCCGTCGGCAAGCCCCGATGAAATTGAAGTCTCCATTGCAGCAACTCCACATTGTTCCTGAGCCGCAGCTCGGGTCCACCACGCACACCCATGCCCCTGCGATGTGACCAGCCTGGCTGACTCATTAACCAAAAAAAAACTGAAGAAAAAAATTTATTCAGTTTCGCCATCGGTGAAAATGGGCCCGAGTGGAATTTCTCAGGCCGGTGGACCTCGTTAAGTCTGCTCCAGCTCACCTCGGTGGAGAGCGGATTCCATTTTTCAAGTGCGTGGACGGCTACAGTCGGCTCCTTGGAGGTTCACGCCATGCATCCGGACCGACGGATAGAACTTACATGTTGGCGCCGCAACTGTTTTTCTCCCAAGTTAACCCGGCCGGTGGAGGAAGTCCTCGTAATTGCGGATGGCGACATCACAGAGGACATATTCGACAGAACGACATGGGTGCCAATGCGGTATATTTTAGATGGTGTGCGTAGACGACACCTGTGCCGGGCGAATTCAAATTTCGCTCCGCTTGAGCGATCTCCAGAGGGACCAAGGTAGTTTCCAGCTAGTTTTGACCTGGAACGGGTCAAAATTAGCCTTCTCGAGGCGCTGGAGATAATCTCCTACTGCAATGGCCTCCAACAATACACTAAAGCCACGTTGGATAACCGCCGGGGTATCCTCCTCGCCGTGCGCCAGGTTGGAATACGCGTGTTCCGGCTCGGTCTGATGCTCGTAGTCGTGCCCCGGCCCGTTCCCAGACCGCAAATTTCTCAACATCTCCCGCGCCGTGATAAGATGATCGTTTGCCCGAGTGGCAACCTGGAACACCGCATCCTGCAGGCCCTCAGCGTTAGGTCCCCGGCGGAAGACATCCTCCTCCTTCACACCAGCCGCTACCATCACATCGAGCGGAAGCAGTAGTGCGGGGCTCCGCGTTGTGCCGACACTCGAACCGGACGGTCCGTGGATGGGTTGAGACGGTGCCGCGAGCACGGGGATACCTCGGAGTGTTGCGGCGATGCCATATGCCTTGCCGATGTGGCTCGCTAGGTGGTCCATGTGCACGGACTGTAAGGGCATCGCCGCAAGCGTCATGTACATCAGCGTAGCGTACGTGTTCTCGGCATGGTCCTCCAGAGCGGCCAGGCTAGTGAAGGGGCGGTTCTCCATGTGCTTCCCTCGCGTGTTGATGAGACGCAGAAGCCAGAACTTGAGTGGGCTTACGCTGTTAACGCCTGCACGTTCAGCCAAACCCGTAATGGCGTTATGCAGCAGGATCGATATGGGCTCGCGCGGGGGGTTACCAGAGAAGATCTGATTAACAGTGTCCCGCCAAAATTGGATCCGAAAGTGACCTATTGTCGCGTTGGACACGGTCTCAGGTAGGCGGGCGAGCTCGAGATTCAGTGTGCGGAGAGCATCATATGCATCCTGTGCCGAGCGAGGCACAAATTGCCGGATGAGATACGCCTCATAGTCACCATGTCTAGCGAGCCGTCAGCGATATGTCTCAGCCACCAAAGCTGAAAATTCGGGAGCGCCAACCTGAGTTGATTTTGGCAGTACTGCCGCGCCTTAGTCACATCAACCGCGCCGATGCCCGTCGCCGTCGACGTTGTTACAAGATGCCGACATTGGGGGATCAGGCAAGCTTGGGTGGCCACCTGCTTAAGGCCGCTCGTGGTGACTCGGGCAGGATTCATGTGGGAACAGTTGTTATTTCAACACCCCCATCCCTTCTCGAACCCACGCACAGAGTTGTGGTGGTAACTTCGACACAGAGGTGTTCGACAAAAGAAGTTTACCTGAGTGAAATGATGCAATTGGAGAATGACTTGACCCCAAATTTGTGGGCCCAGTTAGCCTTCAATGGTTGTCGCGGAATCAGCTGATTAACGCGACAACAGGAATTGATGGCCCCACCTTGTCGCGTCTCCCAGACCATCGCCATCCATCACCTACCGAGAGTCGACAACGTCGTTGTGCCCGATTACCTTCCTCATGAGCCCCCATTATCCGGAATCATGAGCGCTAGTAATTCTGGCGAGCCTCCGGCGAAAAAAAGGCGATTTTTTGTCTCTACACTCGAAGACGAGCACGGCCAGACTGCAGGCGTCAACCCAACCTCGAACGACGTTCCTCAATCCTCTAGGCCTAACCCAAGACCGTTCAGCAGTCCCGATGCCGGCGCGAAACAAGCACCCCACGCTTCGAAGAACCCCACCCCTGGTGGCGCCGGTGGCCCTCCGAGGATGACCTGGCCTCGCGAGCCTGAGTTGAATTTCAGCTTTTTCCAAGAGACCCTTCGGGCTGTGGTCGGAGAGCACGAGGACGGTGTCGCGGAGCTTCTGAGGGGAGCCTGCGGGGACGATTTGGAAAAGGCCATCAACATGTACCTCGATGGTACCTGGAAACACCTGAAACGGAAAGTACCGTCACGCGGCCGGGCACCCGCTCCCACCGATCACAAAGTAGGAGGATCGTATTCTGCGCCTACCCGACATGCTCCTATAAACCCAGTACCCGACTCCAGATATATCGGAGCTTTCGGTGTAGAAGGATGGGTAACTAGAAGTGGTAACAACCTACTGAAGCATGGAGACGTGGTCAACATCGAGCGCCAAAAGACCCAAGTTCCGAAACCCATGTCCCGAAAAGGGGGGAATACACTTGGTCAAGTTCAGTCAAACATTCGCACGAGTGCAGTTGCGGCTAAGCGAGCCGACGTTATCGTCCGTTTTACCGATAGTTCTGGCAGAGAGATTGGCCGTCTCACCAAGGAAAAAGCGAATTGGGTCTCAACCTTAATGGACCAGAAGATCTGCAAGTTTGAAGGAATTTGTGTCTACGCTCCGGAGAGGCTTCGCACGAACGATACGGTGTTTCTCCAACTTCGATGTTCCCTGCTCAAATATGCGTTCTTGAGTCGGAAGTTTGAATTGGCGGATAACAGGACGGCCGGCCGGTTTGAGGAGGCGGAAACATCCGAAGAGAAGGATCTCCGGTTACGACAGGTTGCCCTCGTCACACTCTTCCAGGAAATCAACCTCTTTCCAGTCAGGAGGAATGCTACAGCCGCGAAAGGTCAACGGCAGGATCTACTAGATGCAGCGCAGATGGCGGAAAATAGGGAGTTGGCATTGCATGGCCAAGAGAGTGATCCTGCAGCCTTTTCCCCGACGGAGGAGAAGGAAGATGGGAAGGAACTCGAACAAGACCAGCTCGATGCCCTTTATCGAAAGGCACAGACATTTGACTTCAGCACCCCGGAGGCAGAGCCCGCCGACACCTTCGCCCTAACCCTGCGCCCATATCAGAAGCAGTCGCTGCATTGGATGGTGGGGAAGGAGAAGAATGTGCGGATTGAAGAGCGAGAGACCTCAATGCATCCTTTATGGGAAGAGTACGCCTGGCCGATAAAGGACTATGACGACAAGGAACTTCCGAGTGTCCCCGAACAACCCTCGTTCTACGTCAATCCCTACTCTGGGGATCTTTCTCTCAAGTTCCCGAAGCAAGGGCAACACTGCCTTGGGGGGGTCTTAGCCGACGAAATGGGTCTAGGAAAAACCATCCAGATGCTTAGTCTCATCCATTCACACAAATCCGACGTCGCCATCAGCGTACGCCAGTCAAACCGCTCAGCTCCCTCGGTCAACCAACTTCCACGTCTTCCATCCACCCAGAGCAGCCAGGCCATGACGGAAGCCCCATGTACCACGTTAGTGGTTGCCCCCATGTCTCTGCTTGCACAGTGGCAAAGCGAAGCCGAGAACGCTTCTGTTGAGGGCTCGCTAAAGTCCATGGTATACTATGGCGCCGAGAAGAACGTCGACTTGTTGACGCTTTGTTGCGAAAACAACGCGGCAAATGCCCCAGATGTAGTCATTACAAGCTACGGTGTTGTACTCTCTGAGTTTACGCAAGTCGCGTCCAAGAACGGCGAGCGATCCCACGGTCGTGGCCTCTTCTCTCTCAATTTCTTCCGGGTCATCTTGGATGAAGCCCACAGCATTAAGAACCGCCAAGCGAAAACGGCCCGGGCTTGCTATGAAATTTCCGCAAGGCACCGGTGGGCTCTAACGGGCACGCCCATTGTCAACAAACTCGAGGATCTCTTCAGTCTTGTGCGGTTCCTCCGGGTTGAACCCTGGAACAACTTTTCCTTCTGGCGGACTTTCATCACGGTGCCATTCGAGTCTAAAGATTACATGCGAGCCCTCGACGTTGTGCAAACGGTGCTTGAGCCGCTCGTCATGAGAAGGACAAAGGATATGAGGACACCGGATGATAAGCCATTAGTCGCCCTTCCGCCGAAGCATATTGAGATCCTGGACATTGACCTCTCGAAGCCGGAGCGCGATGTGTACGATTACATTTTCACTAAAGCGAAACGGACCTTTAACGCCAACGTTGAAGCCGGCACTGTCATGAAAGCATTCACCAGCATCTTCGCGCAGATCCTCCGGCTCCGTCAATCATGCTGTCATCCAGGCCTCGTCCGCAACCAGGACATCGTTGCTGAGGAGGAAGAAGCCGGTGCTGCAGCTGACGCTGCGGTCGGGCTCGCCGATGACATGGATTTACAGTCTCTGATCGAGCGTTTTACCGCCGCCACAGATGACGCCGCTGACTTCAACGCGTTCGGCGCCCATGTTCTCGGCCAAATCCGGGACGAAGCAGTCAATGAATGCCCCGTGTGTACCGAGGAGCCAATGATTGAGCAAACCGTCACCGGATGTTGGCACTCCGCGTGCAAGAAATGCCTCCAGGACTACATCAAACACCAGTCTGACCGACACCAAGTTCCTCGCTGCTTCCAGTGCCGTGAGCCCATCAACTCCCGCGACCTATTTGAGGTTGTACGGCATGACGATGACCCGGACACAACACCCTTCGACCAAGGCCCACGCATTTCACTGCAGAGATTAGGCGTCGGCAACTCATCTGCCAAGATCGTCGCTTTAATCAGCCAGCTCCGCGATCTCCGTCGCGAAAACCCCACCATCAAATCTGTGGTTTTCAGTCAATTTACTTCATTCCTTACCCTCCTTGAGCCTGCCCTCGCCCGTAACAATATGCGCTTTCTCCGACTCGACGGCTCGATGGCACAAAAAGCGCGCGCTGCTGTTCTCGATGAGTTCCGGTCGTCAAAGACATTCACCGTCCTCCTGCTCAGTCTCAAGGCTGGTGGGGTAGGACTCAACCTCACCAGTGCGAAGCGTGTCTACATGATGGACCCGTGGTGGAGCTTTGCTATTGAGGCGCAAGCTATCGACCGGGTCCATCGTATGGGCCAAGAGGACGAAGTTAAAGTGTACCGGTTTATTGTACGGGACAGTGTGGAGCAGCGGATGCTAAAGATACAGGACCGGAAGAAATTCATGTGAGTCTACTTCCATTGATTTGGCCGAGATACCGAGTTTTTACTGACAACACAGTGCCTCGTCCCTTGGTATGATGTCCAACGAAGAGAAGCGAATGCAGCGTATTGAGGATATAAAAGAATTGCTCAGTTAGATCAGCCAACAGTATATAGATAGTTTTATAGCAGGAGTCCGCAAAACAGCATGTGGACGAAGAGTTATTGTGATATTTTCCGGGCGGGAAGGTTTCAAATACATATAGGATTACCGGACTTTAATAACAACATCAATTTTAATACAACTTGTAGGATGTCATTACACGGCACTCCTTCTTAGAGCCAGAGGAGGCTCCAGAGGTTGGTGAGGGAGCACATTACGTTGGAACACAACTAAGTCATCAAGAAGACTCATGGTAAGAGCGATAGCATTGTAAGTTTAAGCTAGTCCTGAAATTGAATTAAACTCTGGTCCTCTTGGACTATCATCCCAGGCTCCTTGGCCCTCCCTTTATATTACCAGCTTTACATTATATCCACTTTACCAGGAGCTATCTTCTGTTGTATGGCTAGTTTTTAGCTAGGAGCCATCCTCCGATCTGGAACCCCCCTCTCGTCATAATAACTTCTCTATTGGTACTGTGTTGGCTGCACTGTATTATTCGGGTTTCATTTTCTTTTCCTTCCTCGCCAAGAACGAACTATTCCCGAGATGATAGTTTTCCTCTACCTCTAATAACTATAGTCCTATATATACCCTAAATACAGATACTACTGTACAATCGGGAGATTTTGTCCTATTAATACTGTATAGAATTAATTCATTATAGCTCACAGCATTCTTAGGTTCTACAACAATATTATAATAAATATAGAATATAATACATTGGATAGTAAAAGGTATTGAAATATTATCCCAATGGAATATTCAATGCTACCATATAATTTTATTTATGATAAATGACATAATAAATCATAATAAATATCTATAAATTTACTAGAAGATCCTAGCTCAAATGATTAGTTATCAATATATACTTAAAGCTATTTACCTAGAAGGAGATTTATAATGACCCAGCTGATTAGTATATCCTAGGATACCTTCCAAGTCATATCATTACCTAACACCTATCTTGTATAGGTGCCTAGCGCAACTATACAGGTATATAGTTATAGGAATTCTAGAGAATATAGGGTATAGGGCAGGTATACTATAGGGCTTTTATATAAGGCCTATACCTATTTAAAGGGCCTATAAATGGTTTTTATAGATAGGTTTAACCTTTATATAAATCTTAGTTCTATAACTTATAAAAGTACTGTAACGGATCGGGTCTCAACCACACTCTGAAAGGGTTTACTGAGGATATGATAGAAGGGTTGTGATCCAGTGAAGCCAAAAGGTTTATAACAAGATAATGATCTGGTGTTAACGTTCACTATATTGTCCGAGTCGTAATAAACAAGTTATATTGCTTATTAAGGAAGTCCTAGACCCCTTTATCAAGTGACTACCTAGTTATCTATATACTTAACGACTTTTTTGTTCCTGAAGTCTCTTTATACCTGGATTATCTAGATCGTTGGCCGTTCTACACGATCCAACATTGCCCTGGATTGTCTAGATTATTAGTCGTTCTATATGATCTAATCCTGATTAGTCTATCCCTTATACTAAATGATTAGCTGGTAGTATATCCTATATCCTACCTATATATACTATAGGCTACCTTCTATAGTTAGTTTATAATATAATACCCCTCTTTAAGCTCTTTTAACCTAAAAGAGCCGAAGCCTTACCTTAAATATTATTAGTAGCCTATATTTATAAATATAACTTTTCCCTCTCCTTTCCTTATATCTAAAATATTAATAAGATGTTAAGTTATATAAGAAAAATAAGATCTAGTCTTCTTTATTTAAAAACACTGTAATATAGCTACCTCCTTAATATAATCCTTTATTCTTCTATTAAAATAAGGTCTTTATATTCCTTCTATACGGTTTAAAGCCTTATTTATAAGATATCCTCCTTTAATTCCTCTACTTATTATAAATATATTTAGAGGTATAAGCTGTTTTATAATATCGATAGTATTACTCTTTAATAGCTCTAGAAAATTATATTATAATATAATAAAGTCGAATTAAAGCTAGATAATACTAAGGTACTAGCTAAAGCTACTAGTATTAAAGTATATTAGCTCTGAAAATAAAAGAAGTTATAGCTTATAAAAATAGATTATACTATAGCCTAAGGTATTAACTCTATAGAAGAGTTAGAGTAAGTAAAATAGGAGGAGATAGAAATATTAGCTATACTAAAGGCCTTTATTAATCTATCTAATCTATCTTAGCTACTCCTTCTCTTATAAATACCTTTAACCTTTCCCTTCTTAAATAAATATTTCAATCTTTATTGTAATAAATAAAATAGTTATATAGTATAATAGTAATATATATATACTTTATAAGCTTATATATTTATTACTATAGGTATATTAGCCTATTTATATAACGCTATAGATTTAATTCTTATTATAACTAAATTATATTTCTTTTTTTTTTTACTAACTACTATCTCCTTGAGTTCTTCATCTATACCTTTTAATAATAGCTTTAACTAATCTACTATAGTTATATAGAGTAATTAGGACGTAAATAAAAGAAGTCCTATAGTTAGTTTATTAGAGTAATTGATCAAATTTCCTACTAATTGTTATAAGTTATTTTTAAATCTAAAGTCTAGCTATTTAACTAAGTCCTTTAGTTATCCTTTTATAATCTTTAAGTTAAATACTTCTTCTATATCCTACTTTTCTTCCTTATCCTCTACTTTAATATCTTTATTAAGTTATAAGTTCTTTAATATTAGTTCTAATAGTACTATATAAAAAATATTTATTTTTAGCTTTATAGTTAATAGAAATATAAGGGTATAGTTATTTTCCAAAATCTTTTTATTAATTTTAAACGGCCTAATCCTCCTAAAATTAAATTTCCTACTAGGTTATTTGGTTTTAAGATTCTATAAACTAAAGTAGACTTTATCTCCCTTCTTTAGATAAAGTCCTTTAAGCCTTTTCTAATTATAGAATTTCTGTATTCTTTTCCCTATAAACTTAAGTTCTTCTTTAAGTATTATATATAATAAGCTTATTTTATCTACCTTAATAATAGTCTAAGGTATTTTAATATTAGATCTTTATTTTAAATTAGGTTTATATCTGAAGTTTATAAAATATAATATAACTTATATTATCTTAGTTTCTATAGTATTATAAGCTAGTTATATAATAGGTAATAACCTAATCTAATTCTCTTATTAGAAGTTAATATAAAGTTAGAGACATTATTTAATAATCTAATTAAGTTATCCTTTCTGGCTATCTATCTATATATAATATATTATTAATAACTTACTTTTTATCCTAAGCCTTATTATTAATGTTTATTAGAATTTTAATATAAACTTAGTATCTTAATCTATAATCTACTCTTTTAGCTAGCTAGGTATAGATTAATATAATATATTAATAGAATATATCTATAAGTTATTCTACTATTTAGATTTCCTTATAGGGTAGGAAGTAGATCTATTTAATAAGCCAGCCTATTTACTATAGTAAGAGTACTATTATATTTTACTTAGGTTATAGGGTCCCTAGATTCTAATAACTTAATAATAAAGTCTATTATTATTAAACTCTATAGTCGTTTAGTAATATATAATAATTATAATAACCTATAAGGTTTATATTATCCTAGTTTACTTTATCTATAGAGGTTATACTTATTAATGACCTCCTTAACCCATTCTTTAAGGTATAGGAAATTATAGTATTATTTGATCTTAATAGCTATTTTCCTAATTCCTATATATCCCCTAAGTTTTAACTGATATACTTTAAATATAAAGTCCTTCTAATCTTGAATCCTAATATAAGCTTCATTATAATATTAGAGCTTTATTCTATCTAGTTATAGGCTAAAGGTATTTACCTCTAGGTCTATCTTTTAGTTAGCTTATTCCCTATTAGTAATAATTCCCTAAAATTCTTATCCTCCTCTTTCTTCCCTAAAAACTATATAATACTCTATAAACGGTTATAGGGGTATTCCTTCCTCTATCTATTATTAAATAACTATAGTCTTATAGTCTTTAATTAGTTATAAGGTATGGTAGAGAGTATTATTTATTTATTATTATAGTAGTACTAGTAAGTTTCCTAATATTTTATCATCTTAATGATTAGTTCTCCTATTTAAGGTATCTGCTTATATATTTTCTATACCTTTCTTATAGTTGATTATAAAGTTAAATTCCAATAAGAATTCTACCTATTTAGTTTATTATCTATTTAAGACTTTAGTTATTATAAAGTATTTAAGGTTCTTATAGTTAATATAAACCTATATTAAATAGGTTATACTATTAAGGTAAAGTCTTTATTCCTAAAAAGCTTTAATGATAGTAAATAACTTCTTATTATAAATAGGATAGTTAAAATAAGGCCTATTTAGTTTCTTTAAAAAGAATACTACTAGATATAACTTCCTATTCTTATCCCTTTATCTAGATTATCCCCTGATTATAAAGTTTAATATATTAGCCTCTACCTTAAAAGGTAGGCTAGAATTCGATAATAAGAGTACTAGATCTACTAGGATATTCTATTAAATCCTTCTAAATACCTACTTTTAAATATCTCCCTATTTAAACTAAGTTCCTTTTTTAGTAACTTTATATAATAGTTATATAATATTACCGAAAGTTTAGATAAATATTTAAATAAAATTTATAAATCTAATAAATCCTTAAACCTCTATAGCCTTAGTAGATATTAGCTATTCTATAATTACCTAGATTTTCTAAAGTTTGATCTTAACCTTTTCTAATAAGATTTTATAGCTTAAGAAAACTATTCTTTATATATAAAATTCATTCTTCTCTTTATTAACTAATATCTAATATTAATATAATATATTGAATATTTATTATATATATTATTAGTATTCTTTAAATATCTTGAAATAAATAAGGACATTATTTAAATAATATATTATAAACCTATTAAAGTAGGGTTAAATAATATGGTTAATTATAGCTTAAAATATTATAGATATATTAATAAGGCTAAAGGGTATTATTAGATAT